CCAAACAGGAGCCTCCTCTGCAGTAAATAAAGCTTTTGGTCACTCTTGCTGGCCCTGGAGAGTGGTGGGCRGGGTAATCCTTRKCTTTCCCCYCCCCCTCCCCAGGAGCCATGTGACACAAACTTAAAAGTTAGCATGGGGCTGGAAGCCTGCAGRGCCATAGCCAGGAATCCGGTGGATGCTKCAGGGAGAGGGAGAGGGAGAGRGAGAGAGAGAGAGAGATRGASAGAGRGGAGAGTCCRTCTCCCTTCCTRCTKYTCCTCCCYCYCTCTCTCTGCCTCTTTTGCTKCTGCTGCTTCCTCBGATATGTTGGAGCATGGAGAATCSAAAAAAGAAGGGCAYTGCTGCAGAGTGAAGGCACAAAGTAAATCTAAAGTGTTGTTTACCTCTTTTTGTTTGTTCTTTYCCCTCAKCTCCKAATGKGCCCACYCCATCCCTCCTTTCCTTCAGTTGCAAGKTTACTCCTTGGAMGAGGAGGAGGAGGGAGCYCGRCCTCCTCTGCACCTGCCRRAGTGYTGCYGCCTGGGGAAGCACDTCTTGGGGGGRGGAGGGGGACYCACCCTTYTCCACACCCCATAGTTTGAGGACCCCTGATGTAAAGGATAGTGACAGGGTAGCAGGCCTGCGGGGATGAGGGCTTTTCCTCCAGCTCCTGAAGGGAGGGCCTCCACGGGAGCCTGCTGGGCATGTGCACTCGCTGCTGGCCATGCACGTGCACTCCTTCCCTCCCCCTCCCTCCCTGAGGCTTACAGTTGAACATCTTTCTAAGGGGGGTGGGGGGAGGGAGGGAGAAGTGTTTTTTTTGGGGGGGGGGGTTGAGTGGAGAACATACATTGGGTTGTTAGGTGTATTGTGTCCAAATTTGGTGCCAATTCCCCCAGTGGTTTTTGAGATCTGATGGTATCACAAACGAACATTACATTTTTATTTATATAGATTTAAGTGATATTAAGAAAGCTCATTACAGGAGTGGTTGTGCTGATCTGCTTCAGAAGAAAAAATGAAAGAGAAACTTGTAGCACCTTAAAGATCTATCGCAAATACACTATAGACTAATCTTCCATAGTTTTAGAGCCTATAATCACCCAAGGGCTGAGAAAAGCGGTATATAAATGAAATAAATAAATAAATAATCCAGGGATAGGAATCATGTTGCCTTCCAGATACTGCTGAACTGTAAGTCCCAGCAGCCTTAGCCAGCACAGTCAATTGTGAGGAATGCTGGAGTTTTAGTCCAGCATCGGGAAGTCGGCATGACTCTCACCCCTGTTTTAATCCATGAAATATATGACACAAGCTGATTTCTTACTTTTCAAGGTACCAAAATTGCCAGGTAAAAATCAAAGCCACAACTTTTTGTATACCGCTTGCCAAAGCGTATCTCTAGGCAATCCATAAATATAATAATATCTTTAAAAGTAAATAAACAACTTTTATTTAGCCTTAAATCCACGTATTACTTTTATTTAAACTGCTTTACTAAATGCCTATGATTTTATTATTATCCTACAGCAATTACTTTGTGTTCATTTAGCTTTTCATTAGACTATGTCCTCAACTGTACCCTATTAAATCAAACGCTGTAATTTATGCTTCTGTTGGATGTTACCATGTGATCCTTACACAACTTGACAGCAGTCGCTAGTCAGTGTCATCATTCACTCTGTTCTATGTGCAAGGAAAGGGAAAATTGAAAGAAATGTAAAGAGAAAACTCAATGAGCCTTCACACTAAGAATGAGGAAAAGAACAACTTCTAAAATCAACACCAAGAACTAAATACGATCATAAAAATGAGAACATAAAATACATACAAGGCCTACTACTCACTCAGCAATAAATCTATGTCAAGGAGCAAGAATGTGTTAGATAATGCTGCCAGGTAGTGAAACGGCCTTCTGTTTAATCAACTTCATAAACATAATGGGGAAATAAAATATGCAAAATCCCAATGTTAAGCCATCATTAGTCCTCAGAATAAAATGATCAAGAGTGATGCTTGATTTAAAGGTATCAAATATATCCTATGTTTTGATTTCCACTTGTTTTCACCTACAGAATAACTTATGGTACAAAAAATGTCAAACTATCCCTTCCATGGGAACAAGGATTGGGAAAGTGAAGCTGCCTCACAGATCCAATTTTAGCAATCCAAAAAGCTATCTCAAAGCTTCCTGACCTGCCTTATCAGCAACTAGGCCAAAAGATTTCCCTTATGTCAGTGTGTGCTTTCCATACAGAAATATACCATAGGTTCAGACTGACAGGAACAGCCTTGGGAGCTGAATGCTGCCATAGAGTTGCTCGTTGCCACACATGTTCCAAGGTGATGTTAGTGTAGCCTAAGCAACCTTGATATACTGTATATACTCAAGTATATGCTGAGTTTTCAGCTCTTTTTTTAGGATGAAAAAGCCTTCCTCAGCCTATATTTGAGTCAAAGTTATTTATCGTTTTACTCTGTAATTATTATTTTTATTACATTTATTATTTTACTCTATTTTTATTATTATTACATTTACATTATTTTACTCTATTATTATTTTTATTACATTTATTATTTTACTCTATTACTATTGGAAGAATATGTAAGCACATTTACATTGAAGGTTAGAATAATGATTTAATCAGGGTTGGGCAGTCTTATCTTAAATAACAGTTTTATGTAAATATTCAAAAACATTTAACCTAGTAATGCCTCAATTAATGTAATTGAGGACATTGGTATCTATTTTTATTTTGAAATTTACCAGTAGCTGCTGCATTTCTCACCGTTGGCTTAGACTCGAGTCAATACGTTTTCCAAGTTTTTTGTGGTAAAATTAGGTGTCTCAGCTTATATTTGGGTCGGCTTATACTCAAGTATATATGGTATACATTTTGAGCCCTACCACCTCCAAAGTACCTTTCAAACAGAAGACTGTAATATGCACTGTAGCGTGTCTCCTGCCCTTGGAAAGAAAAGATGTAGATAGGCTTCCATGTTTCTTGGGAATGCAACCTTTTAGAATCAAAGTTGAAAAAGACCCAAGAGTCATTTAGCCCAATCCCTTTCTGCCATGCAGCAATGCATAATCAAAGTACTTCCAATAGGTGGTCATTCAGCTTGTTTAAAAACCTTCAAAGGAGGAGCCTCAGCCATGCTCCAGGGAAGCGTATTTCACTGGCAAATCCGTCTTACTGTCAGGAAGTTCTTCCTAATTTTAGTTAGAATCTCTTTTCCTGTAATTTGAATCCATTGCTCTGTGTTTTCTGAGCAGTAGAAAACAAGCTTTTAATACTCTACCTATCCAGAAATATTGAAGAGTAAGTTAGGAGGAAAATTTCAAACCCATACCCTTTCTCAAGAATATCTCAATATGGCAGAGGTTCAGCCACATGACTCCCAATGAATGACCTTGAATCTCACCTGGCTGACCTCACAGGGTTCTCTCCCAAGCAAGAACAAGGAAAAAACCTAGATAAAACCTCAACAAAGATGCAAAGTAAGTGCTATATCTATTCCTTTCACGTTGAATTTTATCTTTTGTGAAAAATTAACTTAAACATGTGAAGTTCATACAAGATGGCTATCCCTTAGAACAGGCATGGGCAAACTTCATCCAGCAAGGTGTTTTGTACTTCAACTCCCATAATTCCTAATAGCCTACTAGCTGTTAGGAATTGTGGGAGCTGAAGTCCAAAACACCTGGAGGACCCAAGTTTGCCCATGCTTGTCTTAGAAAGACTGTTTTAGCTATGTGTTCCTATACAGAAGAGGATTGGACTAGATGGGCCTTCCCACTTCTAAGTCGTTGGTCCGCAAACTGCTTATGATTACTAGCCTTTTGATACCAGAGTTACTCTTTACACAACATCTAGTCTATTGTCCTTCTTAACTGAGAATGAATCTACACTGTAGAACAGGGGTCCTCAAACTAAGGGCCGAGGGCCGGATGCGGCCCTCCAAGGTCATTTACCCGGCCCTCGCTCAGGGTCAACCAAAGTCTGAAATGACTTGAAAGCACACAACAACAAGGACGACAACAACAACAACAACAACAATCCTATCTCATCAGCCAAAAGCAGGCCCACACTTCCCATTGAAATACTAATAAGTTTATATTTGTTAAAATTGTTCTTCATTTTAATTATTGTATTGTTTTTTTGCACTACAAATAAGATATGTGCAGTGTGCATAGGAATTCATTATCCTTTTTTCAAATTATAATCCGGCCCTCCAACAGTTTGAGAGACTATGACCTGGCCCTCTGTTTCAAAAGTTTGAGGACCCCTGCTGTAGAATTAATGCAGTTTTCATAATCCAATTATCACAGGATGAAATCTTTTGAAGTGGCACAGACAGCAAAACAACACCACAGGGGTGTTCACCCTTCCCTATATTATCTAAAACTGGTGTGTGTGTGTCTATCTATCTGGAACTATACTGAAAAAATGATCTGACTTATTTTATTTATATCTTGCTTTATCTCTCAAAGCAAACACTCAAATCAGCTCCCAATCAAAAACACTACCAATTAAAATATAAAATAATAATAGAGTATATCATTATATATTGTTATATATTATCAGTAGTATCAGATATAATATATTAGCCTTATTATATTACAATATCATCATTATATATTCTATTGTATTATTATTATATTGTATTGCATTATAATAAGAAGAACAAACTTACATAACCTATCTTGCTCGTAATTTGGGGACTTCCTGTAATCTAGTTTAAAATCAGATAATCTGTTTTCAGAAACTGGATTGTAGGTCCAGTGCAGGTGAGACCTGGGTCACCTTGGTGCATCTGCACTGTAGAAATAATACACTTTGACCCCATTTTAACCTCTGTGGATTTGTGAGGAATCCTTTTCCTTTGACAGAGAAGGCTGAAGACCTTGCAAAGCTACAACTCCCAGGAGCCCATAGCATTGAACCATGGTCATGGGCCCGAGGCCTGCTCTGCCTCCTTCCTCCCCTCCCCTCCTGCCAGAGATCCCCGGGTACCTTCTTGCCTGCAGTAGGACATGGCCCTCAGGAAAGCCTGGCCAAAGAAGGGCTCTTTCTCTCCCTCTCTCCGCCTCGAAAGCCTCCTTGAAGAAGAAGAGGGAAAACACGGTGCGGGAGGGAGGCGGCAACCACGACACTAAACCACGCCGAGAAGCCGTTACTCCCTTACGGCCTTGCGCCTCCCGGCATGCTTCGCGACCTTCACGCAATGACCCTCCCCGCCATGCTGTGCGTCAAACGACGTGCGTTCTGTTTTGGAAGACTACAACTCCCGGCATGCTTCGAAACCGCGCGCATGTGTTCTTGAAAAGGGGCGGGGCCTTGTGCAGGGCGGTGGGCGTGGCTTTGCTTGGCGACTAGTTGGAGTGTGTTCTCTCGGTGTTTAAAGCAAGGCTCTGGAGAAAAGTGAGTATGGGTTCCTTCTTATTCCTTCTCTACTTAAATAGGGTTTGTTTTGAGTGGGGAAAGTACTAAAAGTTTTGTGAAATTAAAGTTTCACTTGCATTTCACACACCTGGAATATTGTGTCCAATTCTGGGCACCACAATTCAAGAGAGATATTGACAAGCTGGAATGTGTCCAGAGGAGGGCAACTAAAATGATCAAGGGTCTGGAGAACAAGCCCTATGAGGAGCGGCTTAAGAGCTGGGCATGTTTAGCCTGAAGAAGAGAAGGCTGAGAGGAGACATGATAGCCATGTATAAATATGTGAGAGGAAGCCACAGGGAGGAAGGAGCAAGCTTGCTTTCTGCTTCCCTGGAGACTAGGACGCAAAACAATGGCTTCAAACTACAAGAGAGGAGATTCCATCTGAACATAAGGAAGAACTTCCTGACTGTGAGAGCCGTTCAGCAGTGGAACTCTGCCCCGGAGTGTGGTGGAGGCTCCTTCTTTGGAAGCTTTTAAACAGAGGCTGGATGGCCATCTATCAGGGGTGCTTTGAATGCAATATTCCTGCTTCTTGGCAGGGGGTTGGACTGGATGGCCCATGAGGTCTGTTCCAATTCTTTGATTCTATGATTTTATGATTTATGCAATGGGTGGGAATTTAGCAGTGCATCTAGACCAGGCATGGGCAAACTTTGGCCTTCCAAGTGTTTTGGACTCCAGCTCCCACAATTCCTAATAGCCTGCCCTAGGTCCAAAGTCTGTAGATTAGCGTTTCTCCACCTGGGGGTCAAGAGGGGGTGTCAGAGGGGTCACAAAAGACCATCAAAAAACTTTTCTGTTGGCCATGGGGGCTTTGTGTGGGAAGTTTGGCCCAATTCCATCATTGGTAGGGTTCAGAATGCTCTTTGATTGTAGGTGAACTATAAATCCCAGCAACTACAGCACCCAAATGTCAAGGTCTATTTACCCCAACTCCACCAGTGTTCACATTTAGGCATATTGAGGATTCATTCCAAGTTTGGTCCAGTCCACAATGCACTCTGAATGTAGGTGAACTACAACTCCAAAACTCAAGGTCAATGCCCATCAAACCCTTCCAGTATTTTCTGTTGGTCATGAGAGTTCTGTTTGCCAAGTTTGGTTCACTTCCATCATTGGTGGAGTTCAGAATGCTTTTTGATTGTAGGTGAACTATAAATCCCAGCAACTATATCTCCCGAATGTCAAGGTCTATCTTCCCCAAACTCCACCAATATTCACATTTGGGCATATTGAGATTTGTGCCAAGTTTGGTTCGGATCTATTATTGTTTGAATCCTCAGTGCTCTCTGCAACTAGGTGAACTACAACTCCAAAACTCAAGGTCAGTGCCCACCAAACCTATCCTGTCCTGTCATGGGAGTTCTGCTTGTCAAGTTTGGTTCCATCATTGGGGGAGTTCAGAATGCTCTTTGATTGTAGGTTAACTATAAATCCCAGCAACTACAACTCCCAAATGACAAAATCAGCCCCCCCTCCCCCCCATAACCTCACCAGTATTCAGATGTGGGAGTATATTGGGTATTTGTGCCAAATTTGGTCCAGTGAATGAAAATACATCCAGTATATCAGATACTTACATTACGATTCAAAACAATAGCAAATTTACAGTTATGTAGTAGCAACAAAAATAATTTTATGGTTGGGGGCACAGCATTAGGAAGGTTGAGAAACACTGCTGTAGATAGAATTAATGCAGTTTCATCCAACTTTAACTGCCGTAGCTCAGTACAATGGAATCATGGGAAAGTAAAAATAACAGGGAGTTTTCCTCTATTAGAGTAAAAGACAAAAATGGATGATTTCTGATACATCAAACTACTAAAAGTGACAGAAGATTCTTATCAGAGCTAATAAATAAATAATAAATAAATTAATAAATTAATAAATTAATAAATAAATCAGAGCTGCCTTCCATTCATTGTAACAACTCAAATGGAGCATTATTGATTGATGGGTGCTGGAACTGAGAGAGTGCCATTTATGAACTGGATGTACACTGTAGCGAGGTAAAGTGTGCCTTAACACTTGTAAGCGAAGAAAAGGAGAAAGTGCTTGTTAAGCCCTGCAAGTGATCTCAGCCTAAAACAATTCACAGACGCCCTATCTTAAGGGGACAACTGTGCTGGCAAGAAGCAACTGAAAAGAAGATCGAGCAACACTGTACATACCGGTTTGCAGGACAGTAGGGCACCTGTACAGTAGAATTAATTCAGTTTGGCACCACTTTGATTGCCTTGGCTCAGGGTGATGGAATCATGAGAATAGTAGTTGGGGTGTGTACCAGCAGCACTCTTTGGGAGGGTGAAAGACCTTGTAAAACTACAACTCCCATGCTTCCCTAGCATTGAGCCATGGGATCAAACTGCACTCATCATCCAGTGTAGAAAGTACACTACACACAATGTAGATGTACTTTCCTGGAAATAAATTATTTATTGTATCAGAAGCGAATTGAGAATACAGTTATAATGTGTTAAAAAAAACCAGAAAGGTAAAAACTTGGCATTATACTAAATGTCCTTTGACCAGAAACTGGCAACTTGGAGTCCCTTTGTTGTTGCTGTAAGAAGGTCCTCCACTATGCTTGTGGTGGAGCTCAGACTGCATTATAAGTGGCCTGTGGTATGCTTTGCTCCACATTTGCATGCCATGGACTCCACTTTGTAGCCCTGTTTCTTAAGATTGGCTCTGCATCTTGTGCCACCAAAGTGCAGCCTGTTCAGCGTCTTCCAGGCCACCCACTCTTCTGTGTGCCCAGGAAGGAGTTTCTCATCCAGGATCAGCCACTGATTGAGGCTCTGGGTTTTAGCCTGCCACTTTTGGACTCTCGCTTGCTGAGGTGTTCCTGCGAGTATCTCTGTAGATCTTAGTAAGCTTTTTACTAAGTTGTTGGCATACTGGCTGATATCTGAACAGGGGATGGGCCGGAGATGTCAATGCCTTGGTCCTCTAATTGCTGGCTGCTACTTCCTGGTGGATATCAGATGGTGCAGTACTGGCTAAACGGTATAATTTCTCCAGTGGCGTAGGGTGTGAACATCCTGTGATAATGCGGCATGTCTCATTAAGAGCCACATCCACTGTTTTAACGTGGTGAGATGTGTTCCACACTGGGTAGCAAAGCGCAACGGCTTCACTGTGCCTTGTTGTGATCCCCAGGTTGCACCAATCAGCTGTGATGTGATGTTATTTCTAGCACCCTCATTTTGCAGTGCTTTCCTGGAATGCATTTTTCATTAGAGGAATGAATGCAGCTTGGTACCAGTTTTAATTGCCACGGCTCAAGGCTGTGGAATCATGGGAGTTGTGGTTTCACAAAGTTTTGGGCCTTCTCTGCCAAAGAGTACTTATGCCTCTCCAACTGTTCCATAGCAGTTCAAGTGGGGTCAAACTGCATTCATTTTACAGTATAGACGAGGCATGGGAAAACTTTGGCCCTTCAGGTGTTTTGGACTCCAACTCCCACAATTCCTAACATAGAATCATAGAGTTGGAAGAGACCTTGTGGGCCATCCAGTCCAAACCCCTGCAAGGCTGTTAGAAGTTTGCCCATGTCTGATGTAGATACACCCAAGGATACACCCAAGGCCAAAACTCTTGTAGATTTCTTGTGGTGGGGGCTTAATTTGTAGTGTACAGCTCCAGACCCTTTAAAATATTATGCAAATATAATTTTGAGGGTTGGACATTTTTATAGATGTCCAAGAATCCTTAAATCCTGGAGATGTATGAAATGGATTGTATCAAAACTTATTTTGTTATTTATGGCTATATCAATTTCATTTTCTTATTGAGGCTTTTAGAGCTGTGTTACAAAATTTTGTGCAAATAGGGAAGTGGGAACTAGTAATCTACTCCAGTATGGGGTGCATCTACACTGTAGAATCAATGCAGTTTGACACAATTTTAGCTGCCATATCTCAGTGCAATGGGATCCTGGGATTTGTAGTTTGGTGAGGCCCCAGAACTCTTTGACAGAGAAAGCTATAGACCAGGTATGGGCAAACTTCGACCCTCTGGATGTTTTGAACTTCAGCTCCCACAATTCCTAACAGTCAGTTGACTGTTAGAAATTGTGGTAGTTAAAGTCCAAAACAACTGGAGGGCCGAAGTTTGCCCATGCCTGCTATAGACCTTAGAAAACTACAACACTTTTGATTACATAACATTAAGCCATAGCAGTTAAAGTAGTGTCAAATTCCGCAGTTGTCATCAGTTGCTTGTCATGTGTTTTGTACTGGGAGATCTGCAGAGCAAAAAAAGAATGTCTCCTAGAGAGTAACCTTTGATTTTTATTTGTCATAGAAGCAAAGTTTAAAAGATGCTCTTCTGTTAAGTTCTGCTCCAAAGAAGGTTGGCTGGCGAGTAGTCCATTTTCCCTGTGGACAGGTTCTTTGCTCGATGCCCTGGGAAACAAGTGTCTTGGCTCCAAAACTTGTTGCTATAAGCAACTCTAGAAAATATTTTGGAGTTGACACACCCTGAGATATGTTTAACCACAGGCAGCCTAGACACTGCCTTTTCTTAATGCACTTACTAAACTGCATTGTTTAGCATTCTGTTTTCAGAAGCAGCTTTTGTAACTGATGTTGAGTCATAGTAGATGTTTGATTCAACAGTTCTGTGGCTCTTTTGTTCCATCTTAACCCTTTAATTTTTAAAAAAAATTAAAATCACCTATGCTGTTTTTGGAAACATGGCCACATAGCCCGAAAAACCTACAACAACCCTATGCTGTTATGCCTGTGATCCCCAAACAATTTATTATGAAGATAGTGGATCACTTCACATATAATTCTGTGGCTGAAAGAAATGTGAGAATTGCATATACCATCCATTTTGGACATAAGGAATTCTGTAAGCTGTGCAATTGTAGATCTGAATTGAGACATAGACTTGAAGTGTACACTGGTTCTATACAGCTCATCCGTGAAAGGAAAATTTGATCCATTATGCATACAAGCTAAAATATTGAGAATTCAGCTCATGTGAAACAACAAACCAAGGACTTAGGGCCCTTTCACACAGCCATATAACCCAGAATATTAAGGCAGAAAATGTGGGATTTTATTCAGCTGTGTGGAAGGGGCCTCAGACAGTGCCTTACTGGAACAGATGACCACACATTCGGAAAGGAGAGATACAGTAGTAATGGGAGACTTCAACTATTGTGACACTTTTTTGAAGCCAAACTCTTCCAAGAATATCAGGACCAACAAATTCCTTGCTTGCCTTGAAGATAATTTCATGGTCCAGAGTTTAAAAGAGGCTTCAAGGGAATCAGCTATTTTAGATATGTTCCTAACCAACATGTGTCATAGAATGGAATTGGCAGGATCCTTAGGTGGGAGTGTCCATATTCTTCTGGAGTTATACAGCAGAAAGGGGAAACTGCATGTAGGCAGAAGTTCTTATTCCCTAATTCCAAGGGAAATAACTAAAAGGCAGAAATCCTTGTTACTCTATGATAAATCACCTAGAGGCCTATTGAGAGATCAGCTCCAGCTTCTACCTATCTCTGTTGTTTAGCCGGGTGGTGTCAGGATGCCAGGAATGGCTGTTGTAATAACCTTAACTCTTTCTAATGGTATTTTTATTCTGTTTTGTTTCTGTTTAACAGCGTGGACATGGGGAGTAAGAAAGAGCACGTTAAAATCACCAGTGAGCACAAGCCTGGGTTTCTGGAGCGGCTCAGTGAGACCTCTGGGGGAATGCTCATTGGCCTTGGGACTTTTGCACTGTCTTTCTACATTCTTTTTACCAATGAGGTAAGTAAGAGGGGACTGGACAGATATTGGTGTTGCTTTTCATATGCTGTAAGGTTCTCCTTCATTATGGCCCATTGGGAGTCATCAGTACAGCTAATGGCATCTCTACTACCCTTCACAACATTTTGTCCTTTTGAACACAAAGAAGCTATGAAAGTATGCCTTTTGCAGTAGCTTTATTATTTGAATGGCCCTGATTTACTATTTGAGCTACTGCATGCCCTTAAAGAGACGTTCCTGCGTTGGGGAAGTAATGGTTACAACTGTTTTGGTTAACTAGCAGACTACTCGATGCTTAGCTCTGGGTGAAATGAGCACAAAGAAGGAACCTTGGAGGTCAGACTTGGCCCAAGACCACACATTGGCCACCTTTGCTATACTAGGCTGGATAATAGGAAGTTGGAACAGGCGGACATAAAGCAGCACACTGTGACACTTCCCTTTTGTAGCCATCTTTCTCTCCTGCTCTTGTTATGTTTGCCACAATATTCTACACGTAGCTGGTGGTAAGCATTGATACATTGAGATAATTTGTGCTCGTTAAAATTGTGATCAGGCTGAGCTTTATTTTTCTTTCTTTCTTCTGATGGATGCAGCTTTAACATCCGTGCCATGGGAACTTTAATGTTGTACCCCAATATAGCACCATGACCTTAAATGGAATAAAAATTTGTTGTTCAAAAATGTTTTAGGAATTATGAGATCAGGAATGGGCAAGTTATTAAGGGCTGCATGCTTCTCAAAAATGAACAGAGGTGAAGAATAAATGAAGTAAATAAAATCTCCATCATTCACGATTGATTATTCAGCATTTGGAAAGCAAATAAAATTCCATCCCACACATAAGAAATAAAATCACCCACTCATACTTGATTTACTATTATTAAAATTACATTTAAATGTACTTGATTTGACTTTAAAATAATATTGACTAATGCAGTAGTTAACATCATTTATTTATGTTGTCTCTGAACATTATCCCAATATGGGATCCAAAATATGAATTATTCCTATAGTTGAAACCTCCCAGATCTGTTGATAATCTTCAACTGTCTGCATGAACACTCTGCACTTTCCCACTAATGGGATTGCTCATCCTTCTTGCTCAATCTTCCAGCCTGAATTATTAGTCGAGAGAGCACCTATGGCAAATAGCAGAACAAACTCAACTCCTTCTACAGTAGCAGACTATCAAACTTTACTTCCTCCAGCCTGCTTATACAGCACAGGCCCATTGGTTGATCAGAACTGAGCGAATGACTCATTGTTGAAATATGCACTGCTGCTTACAGATAATTGATTTATTTTGGTGGTCATAGTCTATAAATAATTCTTCAAAATGTCTCAGCGGGGGGAGTGTGTTATAAATACTAGAGAGGACAGTATGCAGCTGTAGCATTTGTGTTGGGCAAATGATTAGTGTTGTCATTTCACTACTTTCTGTTGTGGCTTCCAACTCTGTCCTGCACTTGACAATTACTAGTATACTTCTGTCGAAGACTCGTTTTTTACTTCCACTCATTCTGGGACTACATATGGATTATGAAGGTAGCTGAAAGGTTTTGCACAATTTTTAGAGAACTGGATTTATGTCTGAAATCAGTTTAGAGCCCTTAATTACACATATTGCATTTATACCCACATGCCATTTGGTTTGGGCTTTCAGAACTTTACACTTATATACTGAAATTCATTTTCACTAGTGATGGCCATGCCTCCTTTCAATCCAAGGGCGAAAGGTCACTATACACAAAAAATAAGTTATATAATCATAAGAATGTATATCATAGTACTATAACATTAAATGTACTAGCAGCTTGTACAAAGTATACTTCATGCAACTCTCTAAACAAAAAAAATTCCTTATGTGGGATAAAAAACTGATCCTTACAGCAAAATGCACAAGTTTGTAAGTCCCTTTTGAAAACCAAAAATTTATTAGTAACAAATCAAAGTTTGTAAGTCTTTTTTGCAAGTCTTTTAATCCAAAACTACCTAATGTGGGATAAACAGCTGATATCTACAGCAGAATGCACAAGTTTTTAAGTCCTTTTTCAAACCAAAGTTTGTCAACAGCAAATCAAAGTTTGTCAGTCCATTTTTGGCATCCACAGTTTATAAGCCACAACCGGTTTTGACTGTGTAAAGTCTCCCTCAGGTGGTAGTTGATACAAGTGTAGAAATCCACGAATTATCAGTTTTGCAAAGCAGAGGCCAGTTATCCTTACCTCTCATCAGTCTGGTGAAGTAGGAGTAGGTGTAGTAGTATAACAACAACTTTATTTATACCCCACCACCATCTCCTAGAAAGGACTTGGAGTGGCTTACAGGAGCACATACAAGTGCCATAACACATAAATATAGAGGTAAAATTACATCAACTTATTAAACAATAATAACATCAGTTAAGATAAAAACAACATATTACAAAAAAGTCAAATAAAAAAAATCAATAAAACACAGTACTAATTACCATTAATATGAATAGTACTAACTATTTTTCCAAGTATGATTAGAAAGATAGTATCTGGAGATTCAAAGAGTTCCCATTTCTGCAGAAATGTCTTACATGGAATGTTATTCACAAACGATATCAAAGTTCAACGATTTAATATGAGATACTAGAGGTGGCTGCCAATTGGACTTTAACTAAGGTACTTCTGTCTTCTCAACTCTGGAGGGTGAAGGAATTATCATCCTAGAAGGCATGTTAATACATTGATTTTAGCTTCATGTTCCATAGACTTGTTGAATCAAGAGTGTATGCTTTCCATCCATCTCCACCTCGTGTGACTCATCTCTCATATCTTACCTGTAGGGGCGAGCTTTGAGGACAGCTTCTTCTCTAGAGGAAGGACTTTCTCTAGTTGTTCCTCTTGACAACATCCAGAATGTGTTGCAAGAGAATGAAAGGAAACTTGTTCACTTGTCTGGTCCTCTTCGAACATCCAAGGTAAATATTGTGGCTTGATTCAAATATTAGGATTATGATCTTTATATCCTGCCTTTTGTCTTGAAATATGGGACTCAAGGCAGTTTACAAATTAAAATGGTCACAATTCTGTTAAAATTGGTTCCCTATGCCCTACAACTGGCCAGTAGTAAGGGATGATGGAGTTTGGCAATCCAACAGCACAGGGACCACATGTTGGCTATCCTTATTCTAGGCTCATGGCAAAATTATGATAGCTGGGACCCAATGCTGAGACAGAGCAGTGAGTGAGAGACGCAGGTGCGACAGAGTCGTGGCAAGATAGTTTGCCAGAAAGGTTGGGGGGGGGGGGCAGAAAGGGTGTGGGGGATAACAAAGAGCCAAGCATAGTGCTTAAGGCTATCCAGATATCATATGCAAACATGTTCAAATACGTAATGTCTTCACTTCTCTAATTCTGACCCGCGTTGCACAACCAGCATTGGGTTCCAGCTATCATACTTTTGCCGGATCATTACACCATAGGATTTTACTAGTAAGTGGCATAAAGAGGCTTCTATATATCCCCTCTATTGGATTCAAGGGTGGTGGTAACCTGATGTTCAAATTACTTCAATCCTTGGAGTGGGAGACACACACCAAAGCTTCAAACCTGCCAAAAATAGTTTAATGGAAAATATTTTGTTGCCTTCTGGGAGATCTAGGGAGTCCCCTTTGGCCTGAAGTTCCCCATCCATAGTACAGTGTATAGTAAGCTAATATTATATAGCAGTAATGTGAGTTGTGAAATTTTAGGCAATAGTCTCTGCTATCCAGTAATAATAATATAAAAATAGTAAAACTTTATTTCTTGACCGTACTCTCTCCCCAAGGGGACTCAGGGCAGTTTACAGACAAAAAAGGCAAACATTCAATGCCCAACAAGTGAAAATACAACAAAGCAACATGACATAATACAGAATAATAACAACAGTGAACTAATAGCATGAAGAAAATTATATCTTTATTTGCCATGATTCTGTGTTGAACATAGTTGTAACCATTTATGAGTCTCCCTTCGAGGGTAGAGAAGGGTGGCGAACAAATATTTGAAATAAATAATAATAATCTAACCAAATAATGATGAAGTCATTATTTGGGATTCAGACAAAGTGCCTTGTTGTGTTCCATGCTTGTGAAGTCATTTCCTTTATTTACCATTATTATCTGGAACTCATGCTAGCTTGTATAGAGCTTCTGACCAATCAGTAGACCAGATGATAAACCACCTGATCTTGGAAACATTGCTTGTATATTCAAGCAAATTCTAGAAAAAACTTTGACAGTTTCTTATTACCTCCTGATCTGAACTTTCTCTGCCTTTCCTAGCCTTTGTATGATCCTGGATATGGACTTTCTATCCGGGCTGTCAAGCTCAAGCGTCACGTGGAGATGTATCAATGGGTCGAGTATGAAGATTCCAGGTAAGATGTACCCAGTAATCTTTTTCTGTGTCATATATCATCTCAGTGTGGTTGGCAATTAACAGGAAGAGGATCTTATATTTTATATAATCCAATTAAAAACTAAAAGAAGGCATTGACATATATTTATGTTTACAATGATTTTCTTTTGTTCAAGTCTTTTTGGGGGTTGTTTGGCTTCCCTGTCCCCAAAGCTGATATTATTCCAACCTATAGGAAACCAAAATGATGACTCACTTGGTTATAGTTCTGGAGTGGAAAGTATGATGAGCTCATCTGTGTTGTGTGTAAAGCAGGAAGGTTTCCACTCACTGCTAGGTGTATTTCCCTGCCTCACCCTCTAGCAAATGCCGTGCCAAAATGGGCTACAGCCAAGTTGTACAGATGCAGGTTCCTTGCTTACTGGTCCACATGCCTCTTTCATGGCATTCAGAAAGTTGCTTTCTAAAAGTAGTCAGTTGTGGCTATAGGAACAAAATTAGTTAAGTAGTTAGTTGTTTGTAAATCTACAATTTTAAAAATAATTAGTTTAAAATTGAAGGTTACAAGAATGATCTATCATTAGTTTTGTGGCATTAAGTTGTGTAGTTACGTCTTGGTTGTTGGAAAAGAAATTAATTAAAAGTGGTAGTATACATTCTATTCTCTCAGAGCAGATCTCGACCTGTTTTACAGATTATCCTGCTCAGATGAGTGAATTTATTTTTCTCCAGCTCTTTCTTTCCAGACAGAGTTTGTGTCCATAGCAGCCTTACTATAGCTCTCTTCTCATTTTTCTTCTGAGTTTGGAAGTTTTACTTTTGGTAATAAGACTCCCCAAATGTTGGCTGGAGAAGTTCTGGGAACTGTAATCTGAAAAAGAAGAATCAGCTTGGAATTGATATCTCCCATCTAAGCACTTATCTTTTACCTCATCAAAGCAAAAAGTTAGATGTCTTAGACAACAGATTAAACATTCTGCTGCCGTTGACTGCTGATTGTTCTGTCATTTATAAATACTGATGATTTTTTTAAAATACTTAGGTTTACAGTGTTTTGTTTTTATTTCCTTCCCCAGGGAATATGAAGAAGATGGTGAAATGAAGAAAGAAACCAGATATTCATACAGTAAGTTATCCATCAAAGATCTTCTATTAGAATTGATACCAACTGTAACTATCTTATGTCCAGAATGGTTGCATGATAGGCAGAAATTCAACAGGAGTGGTTCTTGCTACTTTTTCCCTCCTCTTTAAGCCAGAGAAAGTTGCATTGTGTTGCAGTAATGAAAGCAGCATTTGTTGAAGTTCTGTCTGTCATGTGGCTATTGAAGGGTACAAAATAATTGACGGAAAGAAAATGGCAGCTTGACCTTCAGATTCCCGAATTTTAAAATTATTTAGAGATGTAGTGTTTTTATTCTGCACAGTATTTGTGGAACTCAGAATTTGAATGAGCGAAGTTATCTTGTTTGGTTGCCCACATTTTAAAGGCAGTGTGCTGTTTTTATTACCTTGTTGCAGCATTACTTCTTCCATTCTTGCAATTTTCCATCAGTGATACACATGCCCTTTTAATGCTCTCATTTATGGTACATTTTGCAAAAATACTAATTTTTACTCTTTTTGGTATGAAAACACTCTTTGATAGTTACATTGCAAGTACGTACCATATATACTTTGAAGTGACTGGCTTTACCTTGAAGGAGCTGGAGGTGGCCACGGCCGACAGGGAGCTCTGGTATGGGCTGGTTCATGAGGGCATGAAGAGTTGGAAGCGAATGAATGAATAAACAACAAACCAGCTGTTAGGAATTGTGGGAGTTGAAGTCCAAAACACCTGGAGGGCCAAAGTTTCCCCATGCCTGGTATATACTCACAAATAAGTCAACCTTATTAAAATTTAGGGCAGATTTTGGGGCTAAAATTATGGATTTTGATATGACCCATGGATAAGTCGAAGATCATTCTGTGGATAAGTGAAAGCACCTATGCTGCCTTGGGGAACCTGCCATGACTGTTGCCATTTACCCATCATGACATTCAAAAAGCCCAGAAGGGATACCACAGTGAAGAGTAGAAGGGATTGGTGCTTTCTTTAGGTTCTCTTGGGATCAGCTAAGCTCCTGTCTTTTGCCATTCTGCTCAGTTAAAGGAATGGCTCCTTTTTGGTGTTAAGACAGAGTTGTCACATTCACCTTTGGACATGTCAACTAGAGGTTTTTGGATTCATTTTTTTATTAAAAGTTCTAGATTTATAAATGATTATATAGGACAACTATGTTCATGATTAGTAGTAATGGAAGGAAAAGAACATTCTAAACTAGGATCTCCTTAAAACAGAGTTGAGCTCTGTGACTTTTCAGATGTTGTACTGCAGTTCTCACCATATTTCTTTCTAGATTATGGTGGCTGAAAATTGTAATTCACCAATACTTGGAGTGCTGCATTGTTATTATAATAATTGTATTGATTTATACCCCACTTTATCTCTCTCAAAGGAGACTCAAAGCAGCTTAACATAAAAAACATTAGCATACAATTCAAAACATAATAATAATAAAAAAAGTTATTTATATCCCACCACCATATCCCCGGCAGGACTCGGCTCACAAAAGCACTCAATAGTGCAACAACACATAGAATATAACAAAGTACATGAAGATATAAAACATTTTTTTTCATGTCAGGAGGGACTTGAGAAACTGCAAGTCGCTTCTGATGTGAGAGGATTCGCCGTCTACAAGGACATTGTCCAGGGGATGCACAGATGTTTTGATGTTTTACCATCCTTGTGGGAGGCTTCCGACCAGTCAGTCTTCAGTCCTACTGGCACAAGGTTTTATACCACTGGGGACTCCATATAAAACAATAACAATGTGAGTTTACATAACAAATTTACATAAAACATCATATAAAACCCTTACTGGATTAAAGGTTCAATAAAATATACAAATATACAAACATTAAAACAGAATTAAATATAAACAGCATTAAAAAGTTCACAGTTAGAAACCATTAAAACATATTCAAAGTTCCCACCCGACTCTAATGGAAAATCCACAGCAGCCTTTGGTTCCCAGAATGATCTCCCAAGTCTGAGTGTCTTTCTCTTGCCTCCTTTTAGATACTGAATGGAAATCGGAAGTTGTGAACAGCAGAAATTTTGACCGAGAAATTGGTCATAAAAACCCCAGGTAGGCCTCATATTTCCCAAACCCATGCACCTGCTCCACAAAATGCAGTAATTTTGGAATGGAGTTGGAATAAGTTCTGGCTTCTGGTTTCTCTTTTCCCTTGCTTTTGGCCATGTTAACTACAGTTTGTGAAAACAGAGGCCGAAACATCTGAAGAGCCAAAGGCGCCTTGACCCCAGCTTAATAAATGCAGTTTCATATAGTTTTCTGCATGCCAGTTGATTTATTTGGAAATACAGGAGTGATTTTTGCCTTGATACCTGTTTATAATTTTTGCAGTTATACACCTTGTTTCTGATGTTTGTAAATTCATGTGGCCATTCTTTTCATCCATTCAGTAACATGGCTGTCGAATCTTTCACTGCGGTTGCTTCTGATGTCCAAGTGGGCAGTTTCTTTCTTTCCAAAGGTAAGTAGTTTTTGTTGCTTTAATTATATATGATTTTTCAGTGTGATTTCCCCCCTCTCCATTGTTTAATTTATTCATGTCTGACAAAATATCCCTTCCCCAGTGGAACTTTGTGGCATTCTTGGTTCAGAAATCCTTCATTTCAATATGATTCATTATTGTTCACAGTTCCATGTATGTGCATGATCTAAGAGCCTTTCCCTCATGGATTTGGCAGCCATTCTGTAAATGTTTCACTTACCCCATAGCTGGGAACTTAAAAAAAAATTGATTAAGAAAATGTTAACTTCAGCAATCTCAGCTTCCAGTTTCCTTTATGGAACCCTTTCAGAGCAAAAACTATTTAAGATACAACCAACATGTCCGCATGGCTTGGTGTATTTAAGCATTTATAACAATGTTCAGATCAGAGTTAATGCTCTATTCTTTCCTAGGTCTTGTTGAAAAAATTGATAATTTCAAACAGATGAGCTTATCCAGACTGGAAGATCCCCATGCTGATGTGATTCGCTCCGGAGACTACTTCTTTCACAGTGAGAATCCTCGACGTCCTGAAGTAAGAAGATAATTATCTGTTACATTTATATCTTTCCTTTCCTCCAGTGAATGCAAAGCAATGGCATTGTCTTTTTCGTCCCTCCTTTAAGCCTTTGAGGGAGGTCAGGTTGAGGAAGAGTATTACCTGGTGAGTTGTTTCTAATTTATGGTGAACCTGTCACAGGCATTCTTGGCAAGATTTGTTCAAAGGGGATTTGCTTGAGAGAGTGAGACTTGTCCAAGGTCAAACCGTGCATTTCAATGTTTTTATCATGTCAAAAGTGTCTTGAGAAACTGCAAGTCACTTCTGGTGTGAGAGAATTGGCCATCTGCAGAAACCCGGATGTGTTACCATTCTGTGGGAGATTTCTCTTATGTCCCTCTTGGGAAGCTGGAGCTGACAGACAGGAGCTCAGATTCAAACCATTAACCTTCAAGTCAGCAGTTCATCTGGCAAAGGATTTGACCCATTGCACCACCAAAGCTAGTGTATGTATCTCCATGATTGAGTAGAAATTCTAATTCTGGTCTCCAGAGTTGTAACATTCTAACATCTACACCATGCTGGTTGTTTAGATCTGGAGTCTCATTTGAGAACCTAAATTTCTCAGTGGAAGAACAGTGATATAAAGTCTCACAAGCCTGTTATCTATCTCCTACCTGAAATATCTGCTGTTTATGTCAAATTACTATATTACCCTATTTTGTGCTATGGCTATCAGAGCCACATAATACAGTTTGTACCAAATGTAAGAACACACTGTTGGTAGAAACTTGAATGTGGTGAGATCAGAGTTTTGAGACTTAGAAGACCATGAATGCCCCTCTGGAATTAAATTATAACATATTCTTAGCATGAAGGCAGCTGGTGTGGAAAGTTTCTATTAAAAATTTGATTGGAAAGCTTCTGTCTGTAATAGTTTTGTTTTTCACTTTCAGGTGGGAGACCTTCGAGTTTCATTCTTCTATGCAGGTTTAAGTGGAGACTCATCCCACCTCGGCCCAGCAGATGTGGTAAATACTTCGACTCTTCCACATGCAGAAAAATCCCCAGCCCCCAATGTAACATTTAAAAAGTTGTTCTTCTGTCTTCAAAATAAACACCATACATTTTTCACTCTGCCATTTTTCAGGTGACCGTAGTTGCTCGTCAACAAGGGGAACAGTTGGTGTCATACCGAACCAAATCTGGTGATATTTTGCACATTCTCTATCCAGATGAACTCTCCCCTGAGGTAAGTGTTAAGTATAGAGGAGGAGGATGAAGATTATTGTTTTTTCCACTGACTACACCAGGAAGATATGATGGAAAATACAGTATAGTTTCCTCTCCATTAACCCTAAAACTGAGCTAATGAAGGGGAAGACACTTGTCCCTTGGCAACATGGATAAGGCAACCTCTGAGTTGTAAAGGGACAGGGGGTTGCATTCTGTTGCTTCCTTCCTATGAATTTGCCACAACTGTGGTCATTTTGGGTGTTACCTAATTGGCAAAACCCTGGAATTTCCTTCTGGGAATGAAGTTGACTTCCTCTCCCCTGTAACTCTTAAGAGAGTGAGCTGTTGAATCAAGGATCTGGTTTGATTTAGGGAAATAATTTTTTTTTAGTGCAATCTTGTTATTTTCAAACATACAAATAGCACAAGATGTACTATTATAGTATATTTAGTGTAATAAAATATAATTTCTGAGCAGAGCTCCCAAGATGCCAGATGGGAAAGCCTATATATACTTCTATCTGTGTACAATTGTTTGTCTTGTCAGACTATAACTGCATTGAATATTTGCCATATGTGTGTTCTGTGATCCGCTCTGAGTCCCCTTTGGGGTGAGAAAGGCGGAATATAAATACTGTAAATAAATAATAAATAAATAATTGTTATTGCAGGTTTAAATCAGCAAAGTTATGGAGGTTTGGGATAATACAACCATGTATGATCCTTTGCCTTTGTTGCATATCATAAAACAGCTTTCCTCTAAATGATCTAAATTGCTACACTATGGGTTTTGGAAGCAAAATGTGAAATCATCCTTGTGTGCATCGATACTGTGGAATGAATGGAGTTTGACAGCACTTTAACTGCTATGGAATCCTGTGATTTGTAGTTTGGTGAAGTACCAACACTCTTTGGCAGAGAAGGCTAAGCTACCAAATCCCAAATGGCAATATACTTTATGTGATTCAATAACAGACAAAGATTGTAAGGAGAATAAAAAAACCTATGTGTTGTTTTGTATGTATAAAAATATTAAGATAATATTGAGAATGCTAAACTGTGATTTAATTTTCTGTGAGTGAGCCCAGCCTTTACCCTCTGCCTTCATCAGATTGGAAACATTTGTTTCTCGTGTCAGCTCATCTCTGTTTCTCCCAGTGTCTGAACTGGGACAAACTTCGGTTAATTTAACTATGGCATGTCCAGGCAGTTTTAAGCTCTTGTTTGCAATACAAGCCTGTTCAGTTAGAGAGCTAAGTAATCTTTTTTCCTCCAGAAGGGCAGTAAATTAGGGAATACAACTGCATAAACACATATACACACACAGTCCCTTTACCCTCTATACCCCACTCAAACACAATTAATGTTTTATCAAAAAGAATTTCAGAACACTGCTATGTAATAGTATACCCAGAGGGAGAAGTATACAATGTTTAAATGTGCTCACTAAATACTGAATACATTTTAGGAAGTGTTCCAGAAAGAACATGAGTGTAACAACATGAAGACCTGGGGACTGCGTGCAGCTGGATGGATGGCTATGTTTGTTGGCATCAGTCTTATGACCAGGATTTTTTACACTCTGGGTAAGTTTGCTGGTGATAACCAGCTTGATTTGTACACAAAGCTTTGATCAAAATATTAGTTCCAAGTGACATAGGTACAGTATGACCTATGCCCTGTCCACGGGGCATATGTTCCTGAGCTTACTGTGGAAACAGGAATTTGCTTCAATTTAAAAAACAATTCCAGACAAAATATATACTGTATAACTCCTATCTCTAGAAATGTAAATTCTAGAAAATTCAACCTAATGTTCCTGTCCATGTGTTTTCCTTTACCCTTCCTCTTGCTGGTTCAGTAGGTAAATTTATGAAAGATTTTTCATATAAATAGACACTCTTGGCAATTACCTATTGGAGCAGGAGAAAAAGTAATTGGTTATTTCAAAACTGAGCAACAGTAAAGACTTGGCTCTGTTAATCATAAGTCCAGGAAAATTTATTTAAACTCTTATGAATATAATGGAATTCACAATACAAACAAAGTTAATGAAACCTTTTTATTATTGAATTTCAGCTTTTACTTTAAGTTAGAAAAATAAGATGAAGGTGATCTTCCAGAGTTTGTTGGACTATGAATCCCATTGGTCCTGGCCAGTTTAGCTAATAGTGAGGAAAGATGGGCATAATCTATAGATTAATATAAAACAGTACTTATGCCATAAAACCATTAAAAATAACCCAGCCACTGTCTTGGTTAGGTCCACTGTAAAATTCCCATTAAGTCCTCCATCCATTGGACAATAAAATATCTAAAATTTTTCAAAAGTTTGCTTCCATAGCCAAGTTTTCAAGTCTTTCCTAAAGATCAGTTGGGTGGTAGCCTGCTTAATTTCCCTAGGGATGATGTTTCAGAGCTGGGGGGCCACTACTGAAAAGGCCCTGTTTCTCGCTCCCACCAACTGTGCCTATGACAGAGGTCTGACTGTGAGAAGGGCCTCCCTGGTTTACAGGGGGAGATGCGGTTGCGTAGATAGGATGGTTCAGGGCTTTGTAGGTGAAAACCTGCACTTTGAATTGGGCCCAGAAACACATCGTTACTTAGAGATGTCTAACAAAGAATTGGCTGAAAGCACAATCCCGTTATTGATGTAGTGAACAGAGGTATGGAGAAAAAGTCTAGTGAAATTAATGTGTATAGATGGCTCTCTGTATTCAGAGGTTGTCCATCCACAGCTTCAACCAGGGCATGAAAAAAAATCAGGAAAGAAAATCCTAAAAGCAAACTTGCTGTGCATCAAGTGCTACATTGATATTTTGGCATACGCTTCTGTAGCCTCCTACCATTTCTCAGACCGTAAGGCTATTTGTGTTGTTTGCCCTTTTATATAAGGGATGCTAATTGTATGGACTTGAGCATTCATAAATTTTGGTATCTTGTAACCAGATTACAGTTGATACCAAGTGTATACTGTCCTGGATTAAAACACAGTTTGCACGAATGTGTGTTGCGCTGGTTTCTCAAGAATGTACTAATGTTTCATTTTTTGTTTATTTTTTTCCTACTACAGTGGACTGGTTTCCAGTGGTTCGGGAGCTCATAAACGTTGGCCTGAAAGCATTTGCCTTTTGTTTGGCCACCTCTCTCTCCCTGCTGACCATCTCTGTGGGCTGGCTCTTCTACCGGCCCCTCTGGGCAGTGCTGATTGGGCTGCTGGCTGCTGTGCCCATTGTGATCGCGCGCTCCCGGATCCCACCAAAGAAGCAGCAGTGAAAATGTAGAAAGTGTGCCTGAATTTCCTTGAAAGTGCGACATATCTAGACATACAACCAGTGTCTGAAGCCATTAAAACTACATGTGTGCAAGCACAATCTTTGATATTGCAATACCGATGCTAGATACCAAAGACTTCCATCATGGACCTATGTGCAAAATATGTGTACACCTTTTTTCAAATTATGTAATCCATTGGAGGAATACAACTGTTTCAGCTTTTTTTTTTTTTCAAAATCTGAAGTCATAATAGTTGAGAGAAATAATAGAATGTGTGCTTGGAAATAAGCATATATCAAATGCCTTTGTGCCATGATTAAAACAATTGCCATGGAGAAAGACCTGTACTGCAGGCCCTTGGTATGGACCAAGGCAGACTTTGAAACCAGCATGTAAATTCTTGTAAGCATATCCTGCCTTTTATTTTGCATGTCTCTTCTATTGGTGTGTTTATATGTTAAGTGCATGCCATTGTTTGAGGTTTTTGTCCTATCCTCATTTTATTTGTCCTTTACTATTCTGTTTTGCTGTGTATTTAAGCTATTTGGTTCACAGGACCTGTGTTAGAGCAGGGCTTCTTAAACTTTTTCCACTCGTGACCATTTCCACCTGAGAATTTTTTATGTGACCCCAAATACTTATGAAATAAGTATGAAAATCAAACATTTGCAAGGCTTGCTAAACAGGCTGGTTTTCCTTTTTGTGGAGTACAGCCTAAGCATTTTATGTATTCTGTAGGAGCCATTCTGAAACCTTTCACTGTTGCCAAATTTTTCATGACACCAATGTTGTGCCATTTGGGGTCAGGACCCACAGTTTAAGAAGCCGTGTCCAGTTGTTTCTTTATCCCTTTTTATTTTGCTGCTAACGCCAGTTTGAAACCAGTCTTCCAATTTGACTAGAGCATGAAGATGTGCCGATTCCATTCCCTTTGCCTACACATTTTCATAGATGTAATATTGTATGCGTGATAAGGTAGTTTTTCATATAGAGAATTATTTCCTGAAACACCTTTGATGCTGAGTCATTTTGCCACCGTTAGAAAAATCAGCCTAAGCCTGGAGTTCTGTTGGGATATTATGATGGCATCACTTCAGAGTATGTTAGTGCTTCTGGTGCTTACACATTTATGTAAAGAGGTATCTATAACCACTGGTGTAAGCAATTTTCTATTCATCTACAAACACGACAGACTGGCTTGAAGTTTGGATTAGCACTGAAGCACTATTCTGTCTCCAACAGCCCAGAAATCACCCATGATAACCTGTACCTGTAATCTGTTGGTTTTGAACAGAATTTAGTCCTGAGAAGCCAGATCAGGACTAAGAAGCATGTTGTCCAGATGTCAGACTGGTTAGTGATGAAGGAACCAAAGATGCAGTCCCAATGACATCTAATGGACCATACAGTCCCCCATCAGCTTCTTAAACTTTTCCACTCACAATCTCTTTCAGCCTGATAATTTTTATATAATACCAGGTATACGAGTATATAGCATAAGTATAAAAATCAAACATTAACAGATAACAAGTCAACATAGCAAGGCTTTCTAAACAGGCTGATTTCCCTTTTTGTAAAGTATAACTGAAGCATCTTCTGCAGAGTCCACTGCAAACACAGCACAATAGATTTGTGTAAATGTCTGAAACAGTCACTAGGGTGATGTTGAGTAAAACATTTACCATTGCCATTTTTGGGGTGACATTGAGCATCTTGACATTGACATCTAGTTACAGGGGCAGTCTTAGATTAGGAAGAAGTCACAGGTTTCTGTATTGTCTGAGGATTTAAAGTTGCTCCAGCCCTGTAGATCAGGAGTTTTCAAACCTTTTCAGCTATAGAGACCATTTTGAAGCAAAAGTTTCTTGCAGAGCTCCAAGACATGTTTATATATGATATATAATGTATATATACATTGAGGGAAGGGGATTGGGACCCAGTTTAAGAAGCAGTGAGCTAGAGGAACATATACTAGTAGACGGAAGAGATCATCTGTTATGAAAAGGTATACTTTTACAAAAAGTTACAACACATAGGCAACAATTACTAGCAATCCAATGCTGTTCGATACATTTATGTAGATGTTCTGTTAAATGGCCCAATCTTCATAAATATGATGTTGGAAAATAAAAGGTAACTACACTGCTAAACCCAAATCTCTACTGAACCATGTTCTTCCTATATTGTTAGTAGGACATTAATTCCTAAGAGTAATTACTGGATAAGAATCCAGTTTGTGCAAAGTGGATGATGGTTCTTTTAATAGTTAACTTTGTTCCATTCTTGGAGGTCAAAATGCCATTTAATCTGGTGGCCACTACTTTCCATGGCTAGATGTATTTCACTATGTTCCAGGCAAATGGATTCATACTGTTTTGCCATTTAAGATGCCACGGTATTTCTGTTTCACATTTTTTTTACATCTTCTGTGGGGTAGCTATGGAAGTTTTATGTGCATTTTTATTTTCAAGAAAACCAGTACTTGTATGCTTTACAATAGTAACTTTCGATATTTTTGTTATGGGTGGGTGTTGTCAGCCTTTTATATCCTGTGAATAAACGTTCATGAATGGATTTATTCTTTTCTATTGATTTAAGTATTGTTAATATTGAACTTGAGTTTTAAAATGGAATCACATTATTGGCTTTAGCGTACTGCTTAAAATATGTTCTTGGAGAGGACAGGAAAAAAAATCCCGATTGTCCAGTAGCAACGGTACACCTGCTTTGAAGGATAGGCTCTACAGTTACTTACGGACCCACTGTCAAGAGACTACTCTTGGAAGACAATTATACTCACCCATGTGATAGCCTATGATGACGCAGAGTTCCTTCCAAAATGGTACACGGCCAAGGGTACCACAACACAATATTGGTGTTACCTAAACTGCCTGTGAGATGCTTTCTGAAACACAAAACAGCTCCAGAACATCCAGAAGGGATCTCACTTCTCCATTACTAATACTCCTTAAATTAGAACTTTCCAAACTGTTGTGATATCAGCTGCAGGGTGTGTCATGTGAATGTAATGAGAAACCTCTGAGTATGTAAAATAAGCAATAAATCATATATTTTAAAATATAAATGAATAGTTTTTGTGAAATATGTTGTTCCCATTAATTGTGTTGTTGCAATTTATGTATGCATACACATCTCTTATAAGGGATTGGTTTACTTCTGGTTCAGAATGCTTTTTGATTGTAGGTTAACTATAAATCCCAGCAACACAACTCCCAAATGACAAAATCAATCCCCCTCCCCAACCCCACCAGTATTCAAATGTGGGTAAATCACGTATTTGTGCCAAATTTGGTTCAGTGAATGAAAATACATCCTGCATATCAGATAATTACATTACGATTCATAACAGTAGCAAAATAACAGTTATGAAGTAGCAATGAAAATGTTATGGTTGGGAGCCACCACAACATGAGGAACTGTATAAAGGAGTCGCGGCATTAGGAAGGTTGAGAATGACTGCTTTAACTAGAGATCTTGCACTGAGCAGGGAGTGGGACTCTGGCCCATGAGGTCTCTTCCAACTCTGATTTTATGAAGGGTGGGGGATTTACTTTAGCTTAACTAATAATCCATTGCTAGAGTATGTTTGAAACCCATTTAAAGGAACTATGATACTGATATCCCTCTGCTATACTAGGAGGTGTGGCTACAAAGAGCTGTCATCGTAGCTATGTCTTCTGATAAGAGTTTTGTCTATAAAATGTATGATGCCTACAGTGGTGTGCTCTAAAGAGGTGAATGGTACAGCTGTAGCATATATTAAATAGAAACGAAGAGTTATTAAAGGTTTATTTTTTTTTGCGAAAGATTCAGTATAAAAATATTTTTCTTCTAAATATATTTTAAGTGCTAAACCTAGCCGCAGTCACATCAGATAGAGGGAGGTTGCCATTTCCTACAAATCTAGGCCAATAAAACTATTTTCCACTTTTAAAAGTTGTGTTAAAACAGATTTTGCAAAAAAGTGTAAGAATCACACCAATCTAATTACATCTAAAGTGAAAATGGCAACCTACAATATGCCTGTAACGACGAATTACAGGTATCAATTATTTTTCCTATTATGTCCCAAGCAAATTGCATGAATTTACAGTACTGAAAATCACTTTGGTTGTACACAGTCAATATGGCCTAGAAGACTGATGAAGCAGCGCATACATATGTATGGGGCAAGGGAGCTGAGAATCAAAGGAAAACTGAAACCTTAAAAAGAAATCCTAAGTTTGGTAATTTTGATAGATTTGTCCTATGATCATTTCACAAACATTCTAATGAATGGATTTGTATGTATGTGTGGGAAAAATGACTAACAACATAACCAGCCTTGCACACTTCCCATATATATTTATGGAGTTTGTGCAGGAGAACGTCCCAGTGGATTGCACTCTGCTTCTGGTTAGCACTCTGCTTCCTGAACCCAGTGAAGCAGCCTAGTGTTCTCCAGATGGTTTGGACTTCGACTTGTATTGGCCCCTGGTTGTATGGCCATTGATCAAGGACACTTGGAGCTGCAGTCCAAACTGTGGAGGGTCCTAAACTGAGGAAGACATCATAAACATTCTTATTCTTATGACATACAAAGGCACTCCTTGACTACTCATGACACAGATGAGACCTTGCTGTAAATGCCATGCAAACCACTTGGAGAGTGTGAGGGTGATGACTAACAGTGATGGAACTAAGATAACTGATTTAGCAATGGTGGAAGACTTTCACGTGAGAATGCCCAAGAACCATTCCTCAAAAACATAATTGACATTTAACAAATCTGTTCCTGATAACCCCACAGACACAATGAAGGAAGACCTATACATGTTTTCACATGACAATGTTCACATCAAAAAACAAAAACATTTAACAGATTCCCTCTCAACAACTCGACAGACACAGAGAAGGAAGCTCTATATTTCTATTCCTGAGTTCTTGAAGACAATTCACAATTGAAGTAAATGTTTTATGGCCTACACTTGAAAATATTTTGTCAACTCCCTGATTTAGTCTCAACATTATTTTTGTACATCTAATTAAGCACCATCCCATATATATATATATATATATATATATATATATATATACACACACACACACACACACACACACACACACACACACACACATACATACATACATACGTACACATACATACACAGATATAACTAGAAATTACTTCCATCAAATCTTTTAGGCATACATTATTTCCTATCCAAACTGGAAAATCTATTTACAAGCTAGCCTGACAGAAACCCAAGTTGTTGTTTTGGTTTTTTAAAGCTTGACCCAACAAATAACCAGCATCACTGCTCCTCTGGTTATAGCTTCTCAAAGGGAAACAAATGCTTGGCTTCTCCTTTCTTCTGTCTTCCACTCTTTCTTGTTGTTTTTGATCCCTTATTCTGTTCCTCCACTTGTCGGTTTTGGGGCCAGGAAATAGCCATATCTTCAGCCGGGGTCTCGGAGCTTGGGCCTCCTTTTTCTTCTTCATCGTCATCAGAGGAGAACCCAGACCCTCTTTCAACCATGACTCCTGCTGCTTCATTCTGAAAAGGTAAGAGCTGAAATTACAAACTGATACTGCAAAGAAACGCCCTTTGCAATGGAAATGTATTTGTCCTGCAAGCAAAAAATCAGAATAATAAAGCATTTCCAGAAACAGAACCTCAATATTCAGGTGACAACATTATCGTATACAGGGGCCAGGGACAAGCTTCCACCCCCCTACTAGTGTTGGCCACACAAGCAGAAAACAACAGATAACAAAAAACCTTCCAGCAGTTTTCATATATATATATATATTTAAAAAATGGCTGATTTAGGTCCTTTTCTCCAGTTTGTGATGAGCCAGGAGAGCAGCAATACTTTTATTATTCTGTGCAGTATGCAGACAAAATTAACTAGTTCCCCCACCACCACTCGAAATATTCTGAAATTATTGAATCATAAAATGAGGATTTTGTTATACTGATTGATGTGGCATTTATCTGTTTTCCTTAAATTTTTGAATTTTATATCTTTCTCCCAGGGAAGGGAATCATATAGAATTGGAATATACTACTACTACTACTACTACTACTACTACTACTACTACTAATAATAATAATAATAATAATAATAATAATAATAATAATATAACCCGCCCTCTCTCCCCAAAGGCACTCAGGGCAAACATTCAATGCCAGAAAACAGGTAAACAACAATCAAGACAAGACAAAACATAAAATCAAATAGCTCAATATGACTTATAAACAACCAAAGTAAAAAGTTAAACTAAATAAATATAATAAATACCAAGAATCAAACCAATTAAAATACTATGCATTAAAAGCACAATATAAAAAAACAATATAATATCTTGCGAGAGCAGGCTAAGGGAAAAGACCACAAAGGCCATGGGTGTGAAGAGTTGCAGTCTAACAGCATGTGGAAGGTCACTTTCACTCATCCCTGGCATAAATTATGTATATTTGGGGGAGCATATTGCATTTCTAAAGACATTCTGATATTTAACACACATTTTGTTTTTCATGAAAAGCTGAACTCAGACTCCATTATGGCTGAAATAACCTTGGGACAGTAAAATACAGATATATCCCCGAATTTGATACCTTAATAGAATAGCGTGCTTTCAGTCTCTCTCTGATCAGAAGCCCTTTCACCAGCAATTTCCAGTTTCCCAGCACCCTCCTCTCTCGCTTCTGTTTTGAAAAGTCAGTAGTTAAGAGTTAGTAATTGAAGGACACACAGAAATAAATTCTTCTGCTCTTCAAACAATGCCATACTATAGAAAAAAATCCCCACTGGTAAGAACAAAGAAGAAAAGGGTTTATCAAAGGCCTTAGGAAAATCTAGGACGGATTAAGCACGTGAAGTATTTTTTAACTTGAGCTGAAGAGGTAGATGTCTTCAAGCATTAGAGCTTGAGTATTCGCAAATTAAAGAACCCCCAGTGGCGCAGTGGGTTAAACCACTGAGCTGCTGAATGTGCTAACTGAAAGATCATGGTGGGCTCCTACTGTTAGCCACAGCTTCTGCCAACCTAGCAGTTTGAAAATATGCAAATGTGTGTAGATTCTGTAGGAAGGTAATGGCTCTATATGGAGGCGTCTATGGACAATGCCGGCTCTTTAGCTGAGAAATGGCGATAAGCACCACTCTCCAGAGTCGGACACGGATAGACTTAATGTCAAGGGAAACCTTCATCTTTACTTTTATTCACATTTCTGTTATCCATACATAGTCCTGGAACCAAACACACACAGATATCAAGGGCTCACTGTCCTACTAACCAGCAATTTATTTAAATTGGCTTTCTGGCTTTGTCATATTGCCACCACCACTGGAAAAAAAAAGACTATCACCCCAGTCTTGAAGGCTTTCTTACCTCCCTTTCCTTCTTTTCTCTCTCTGCCTCTTCATTCTCCCAGGCTGCGATAAGCACCTCTTTATACTCTTCGCAGACGATATAACCTTCCGTGCTGATGAGAAGGACGCAATAACACATCATGGTTATGCTCAGCTGAGAAAGTTGTGTCTCATATCAAAAGACAAGTAGCAATCCAAAGCTGGCCATGTCTTTGTGCTTATACACACCAATGCTTCCAGGTAAACATGGAATTTATCAGGGATGAGATATTCACTCACGAGAGGCTGAAATATGGGATATAAACATGATAACAATAAACTGCCCATTTCCTCTACGAAGGGTTCTTCATTGATTAATCTTGACCTGATGCTCACTGTCAGAATGCTAGGGATACAGGGATACCAAGGTAGGGAACAGTTTTCATCCACTTCTGGGTGAATGGTAAGAAAAAATAAGAGGTGCTTAGTATTCCCATTCTGTTTCCGTCATGGAAATGTAACAGAGGTACCTGAGTCAACAGTACTCTCTCTGTTGATAAGTATGGTAGAAGTTTTGGAGGTAACAAAGGGACCTCATGCAGGGAGTCACAATGAATCTAAAATTCAAAGGTAATGCAACAAAGGGGGGTTGAAGTTACACTTTATGGGTGCACTCTTGTCTCTTCTAAAGGTATTTTAAGAGATTTTGGCAGAGTTTTCAAACTGTATCCATTTTCTTATAAACTCACCCCTTCCAATAATGGTAAAAAGTAAAGAGCAAAACAACGTAATATTGAAACACTGCAATGAGTAACAGACACACCATAATAAGTAATAAGAAAAAAATACTTTAAAACTTTCTGGATTCAGAATGTGAGTAGCCCTGTATGATAAATATTCCCATGACACACTCTCCCCAGTGACAAAAAAAGTCATCAGGACCAATGAGCAAAATGGCATTTTCCTTCATAAAAACACAAAGCAAGTCTGGGTAACCTACACTGCGTGTGAGTAGCCACCATGAAAATCAAAGCCAGTAACTGCTTGAACACAGTCAATATCCAGTTTGCGTGCCACTCTATTGAGGTTAGGAAGTTTTAACTGCACACAGCCTATTGGTAACATCTTGGGTTGGAAGAGGTACACATTCCCAAATTCGTTCCGGGGAACCTGAAAGAAAGTTGGGGGGGGGGGGGGGGGGGGAAGAGAGTATTGTTAAATTACTTTTAAGAAGAAATTGGCTCTTGTTGAAAAGCCAAACCCACATGTGGTACCACTCGAATATGGTAAGTAGTGGTACTATAAGTTTCAAAGCGTTTTTCAGTTTTACAAAATCTGAGTACAATAAAAGCTTTAAGGATTATTCTAACACCCAATGATTAAAATGATATAGTTCCAAAAAAAAGAGATTTGTATATTTTAATGTATTATTGTTCACATGAAAATATTTTATTAGATTTGCTCTAGTAGCTCTATGGAAGTCCATTAAGACACAAAGTTCCACTAGTGGAGATGGGATACCAGTGGATACAACCCACAGAATACAACAAGATTCTTAATTTCCAAAATTGTTAAATTTTAGGATCTAAAAAATTCAGGGTAGGGTATTACAGCCCAGGCTTTAATAGAAAATATTCTTAGGATGATAGCATAAATTCCAAAGGTTCTGATATGAAAAAGTAATGGATGATGGTAGTGGAATCCTGCTGAAACTACTTTGTATATCTGAATGCAGAATCACATCTGTTGTGACTGGATAAATATTACATAACAGTACCATGGGAAAATCCCCTGAAACAGTGTCTAGAAAACAATCTCTCTCTCTCTCTCTCTCTCTCTCTCTCTCTCTCTCAAACATACACACATATATCTTGCTGAGATATACATTTATATTTGTATATATACATTCAAGTACCATTTTTTGAAGTGTTGCTGTGCCAAAAGATTACTTAGGATACGCTATCCTGAAATCTGTACTCGTCAACAATCAATACAAATGATTGCAATCTACTAAAGTTTTTCTTCTCCTTACCTTTCCATCCACAGCTATAGGGGGCTGGTACTCTTCTGTCTGCCAGAAACCAAAAAGCGGCAAGTCCTTTTTGTCCCGGTTTGTAGGTTCTGCCTTTCGTGCTTTCCTTGCATGGTTTGAGTAACCTATGACCATCTGCACAAAATACAAAAAAAGTCCAATGCCCTCACCTATTTCCTTTGCATGAATGAATATGGTGGGTGGGCAAAGGCTGGCTTGCAATGTACTTTTTTTTTTCAATCTTCCAAATTTTCTCTGCTCTCTAAAAGCCCATTCAACCATCACAAAAATCTGAGAGAGAGAGATGACCGTTAAATAACACACTCAAAAATCTGAATGACTTGCACAGCCTGTTGGAAACATCAAGTATAAATGACAGATGTAACAACAGGTGTTTCTTCCTTCTACTGCAGGGAGAAGCATTTTCATCTATTCAGTAGCCATGCCATTTCATTTTTTGGCAATTTTGGGTCAAAAGCAAAACTAGCAGTGAGTTTTTGGTCTTTATTTCTCAGTTCCAATGGGGAAGCTGGAGGTTTTTTTTTAGTTTGCGGGGTGGGGTTAAGGGTAGAACTTGGGGAAATCTTAGGAAAGGTATGAACTGCAGATCCTGAAGGTCTTCAGGAGCAGCAATTTGCTAATTCTTGCTTTGCAACATCTGCAGCCATTTGGAAAGTTAGGCTCCAAAACTAATGCATTCAAGAGATCCAGAGTAATGAGTGCTATTAATCTGAGAATGGGAGGAACCCCTGATCTCAGCTCTCCAAGGTCACCCATATGCAAGTTTTCCCATCTTAGCTAACCTATCTTTAGCCTTAACTAAAGCCTAATGACATTAGAGTTTCATGATCAGAGGCCATGTCTCTTTAAACAGTAGCAGCCGGGGAGGAACTGCAGGAGAAGACTTCTATCCTTTTTGTGGGCCTCCCAGACACATCTGCTTGGCTGGACTAGACAGACCTTTGGTATGATTCAACAGAGTTGTTCTAATGTTTTTGGTTCATGAAGCCTCAAGTGCAGATACCTCATACTGATGTTAAATGAGAGATGACTGCATCTCCCAAATGTAATTATTCTCACCGTACCTTGTATGGCACTTCTCCAATCCTCACCACTCGAGCTTGCTTCAGCCAGGTGTCCTTGGAGTGAAGCGTATGAATACAGTCTCTGTAAAAAGTCACAGCAAATCTTCTGAGATCTATTATCAATGTACACAGTAATACAAGGCTAAACATTAAAATCTGTTTAAACTAACACAGACCTATGAAATAATCGAGATTTAGTTACACATCGACTCACAATTCAACAATTCTTTCAGTGGATCTACCCTAGATAGAACCAATCAAGATGACACACTGTAATGTATTATTAACAGTGTACATATCATTAACACTATTATTTAAAGAAAATATACTTTGTATTTAAAATTATCATAATTCTGTTCCAAGGCAACCAGCAATACATGAACAGAGAGAGCAGATCTTCAAAGATTTACTTTTACATAAATTGTTTTACTTTTTCTCACCGTGAAAGGGAAAAAGTCCTATGCAGGGTACACAAATCCCTCTCTATAACCAATGAGGATCCTCTGCCCCTCTGGCAGTTCTCCAGGCATTGTGTTCAGGGATAACTCCAGCCATAAGAACCAGAAATAAAGATGCTAAATTCTTACCTCATAATCAAAAGCTCCCCTTTTAGAAAATATAAACCCTCGCTCTAACTAACATGAAAATATTAGATATTTATTATCAATACATGTCAACAGAGTACATATTAACAGTTTAAAGTTATGTTTTTATTGGTTGGTTTTAATGTTTTCGTTAATTCATTGATGTATGTGTAAATGCGGCATTGAATTGTTGCCTTTGTAAGGCTACCTTGAGTCCCCTTTGAGGTTGAAAAAGGGATGCAAGTATGGTAAATAAATGAACAAACAAACAGACACAGAGAGAGACACAGAGATTCAGACATTTTGAGTTTGGCCACATCAGATGCTCTGGCTCAGAGGCGGAGGCACCAGATAGAGCTCAGTTTGGGAATCAGGATGAGGTGGAATTAAAAAACTGAGAAACCTTGGCTGCCCAAGTCTGGTTCATGATATCACAGCCAATGAAAATATGAAGTGCCACTTAAATATTTTTAGATTTTCTGAAAGCACCGGAGATGAAAAATATCTATTAACTGTTCACAAAACAATACCAAATGGGGCCACATTTTACAGCATGCCTCACCTGGAGTACACTGCTTCCCCTCGGCAATATCCTAAGATTGCAGCAGTTTCAGGATAGATGGCTTCATATTTAAGAAGATGCCTCTTCAGAGCATAAAGTGGGTGGTTCTTGTATTCTCCTATGGATGTTGGCAGGGGCCGATCTTGATGTTTAACTATAAACTAGAAATCGCACCATTGATTGGCAAGCTTTGAACAAATATCTCACACAAATATACATTTAATTTCATGGAAACACAGACTAAAAGCAAGATCAGGGCGATCCTGCATATGCTCGCTCGTTGCTCAAAAAGAGGTGTAAAGGTATCACTGCTCTAACATTGTAAAGGTCCTTTTGCCTGAAGGCAATAAAGGATGAAAAATGGCCCAAGGAACCAGTAAGTTGTCTAACTTTGTCTAAGTCCTCTCCTGTCCTTTCAAAAGCCAAAATTCAGATCATGCAGTGAACCCCAGTCACCCAAATCCAGAATGTGCTTCACCCATGATCTCCATCTTTACAAATACAGATGCACATGTGCACATGCTATTTTTGCAGCCCAGGAATCTAAAAGTATAGGACAGATGAAAGTACTAAATCTACCCAGACCTAACTCCAGCCATGAGAATAATTCCCATTCTATTGATTTGTATTTACCTCTCTATCTTCTTTCTTCTCTCTTTCCACAAGAGGGCTTATGTACGGCTCCAAGGTATCTTCCCACCACTGGGGGTCCACACGAGTCTTTCTTGTTGTGGTCATCCATGCTGGGTCATACCTCTGGGTTACATCCTTGACATACCCGGTGTTGTCGATGCCAATAATGTAGCACACTGGCTTTGTGGCATACTTGAAGCACAGTGAAGGCTGGCCAACTGTGCCATGGACACAGTCCACACACACCCAACGATCCTCCCGTTCCAAAAAAACCTCTGCCCATTGGTCTGCGCCTCTCAATTTATATGCCCCTTGTTCTCCCCCATCATCTTCACCACTAGAAATGATTTTGTTCCTTTTCTTTATTGGGCTTGAAGAACATGGAGTGGCTGTTTTCTGTGGTGGAGCATCAACTGTCTTTGAATTCTTGTATTCTTTTGATACCAAAGGCCCAGATCTCTTCCTGTTCTCAAAAGCACCTTTTGCTTTACAGGTTACTAATGATGATTTTTGCTTCCTTCTTGGAGTTTCAAAATCTTCATCAGACCCACTGCTATCCTCCTCCTCTTCCTCTGAAGCAGAGAATTCAGAGTCGCTACCTTCATCACTTCCACTTTCCTCTTTATAAGACACTTTCGAGGCCACCTTTCGTAGGCGGTCATTTTTGGGCTTTCCTAAGCCTTCCTTTTCCCTCAAGTTGCTCTCATGGTTGGCAGATTCCTTTCCTTTCTGAGCACCTCTAATCACTGGTGACTTATTCGCTGAGGTGTTTGGTTTCTTGTCCTCTTTCTGGCTCCTTGGTGAAACCTTCTCTTGTTCTGCTTCTTGCTTGGTCTTGTGTGATCCTGTACATTTTGGGACTGAAAGCTTAGGCCTTTTAGTAGCACCACGCAATCCTGAAGAAACTGCAGCAGAAGCACGCTTTTTGGGGGAAGACTTTTTCTGAAATAAAGAAACAATAGCTCTGGATTTTCAAAGGACTGAGCAGTCAAGAGAAGAGTTACAATTTAGTGACTTGTAACAACAAACCAACAAACCAATAAAAATGAACTGCTATATCAATTCACTTGCAAGTGTCTGGAGCCTCATATTCAGATACTGGATATGTAGACTTTGTTTCTAAGCAGGAGTGTGCACAAACAGGAAGCAGCACTGGGTATTCACCACTGGCATTGCTTTGCCTGACTCCTTACCACCATACAGTGACATCTGAGCACAGGGGGAAAGATGTGGTGACATTTGAGGTGAAAATAAGAAAGCAAATCATGCTTCCAACACTGAGTGCTTTTTGCAAGATGAGATCGAGGAATGAGAAAGTTGGGAGTGAGGTATCAGGAGGCAATGGTAACTTGAAAAGGTGAAAGGGCAGAGTCAAGGGAGGGTTGAAGAGGAGGATGAAGACAGCAGAGGTGAGAGAAGTAAATCAAGGAGAGAAGATATGGAGAGACGAGAAGCATGTGAAAAAAGATGGAAAAGGCAATGAATGTGTAGAGCAGAAGGAAAATGAAGGTAGGTTTTGAAAAACAAAGAATGTACTGGGGTTAGGAGAATGGAGGGAGGGGGCAAAGAAACAAGAGGCAGGGGCAGGAAAGTGCTAAAGTAGATAGCAGGATGGTGTGGAGGCAGGAGCAAGGAGATGGCTAAGAGGGATCAGAACGAGTGCAAGAGCAGAACAGATTTTGGCAGGTTTGGAGGAAAAGATAATAAACCAGGATAAGAAATGTGAGAGAAATGTGAGAAAAATGGTGGACTTGCCCAAGAGGATATTACCAGCATGAATGGGAAAGAATGGAAATGCAGCTAGGTGGAAAAAATAAGAAGAATCCAGGACAGTCCTTTTTAAAATAGAAGACAGTCTATTATTTTATATTGTTTTTTTCTACCAGAGAGCAGTAAGGGACTTTTGAGTATGTTACTTTGAGTCCCATTCATGGGATAAAAGTAAATAAATAACGACAAAAACAACAAGAGAGAGTGTGGCTCCTTGTAACATTGGTTTGCTGAATTTTTATTTTTTTTTTGGTCTGTGAAAAGTGCAGGATTTCAGATTTGCTTTCTCTTTCTTCAACTGGCTCTGGGGGAGTAAGAATAGGACTGGCCTGTTTCTGGTTCCCTGTTTAGTATCATTCTTTTGAAGCCTAAATGTAGGCACAAGGCCACAGAATAGCAACCAAGGCAGTGATCTCCTCTTGGAGTTGGGCTGAGAGGTATTCCAAAGGGGCAGGCCCACAATCAAACATTTGCAAACAGAGGTTCTACCTTCAGTCAGTATCTTCTTTGTCAACAATATTGTGGCTAAAGGCCCACATGCCTATAAGGCACTCCAAGGTTTGGACTCCCGGTTGTGCAATGAGTTAAAACCTTGTGCCGGCAGGACTGTTGACCAAAAGGTCAATGGTTTGAATCCAGGGAGCAGGATAAGCTCCTTATTTATTTATTTGGTACACTTGTATACCGCTAATTTCTCAGCCTAGAACGGCGACTCAATTGCGGTTTACAGCATTTTAAAAACAATCTCAGTTTAAAAAACATATACAAATACAATAACAAATTATTGGGCCACCAATAATAATCCCATATATCTCAAGTTAAAATCACAATCCAGAGTTCGTTGTCCATATTTCCTGTCCATAGTCACCAAGATTCGATTTAATTGCCACAGATTAGCCGAATGCTTGTTTGAATAACCATGTTTTGAGTCTCTTCCTAAACACCATCAGCGACGAGGCTGATCGTACCTCTATAGGGAGGGCGTTCCAAAGCCGAGGGGCCACCACAGAGAAGGCCCTATCTCTCGTTCCCGCCAGCCGCACTTCTGAAGCTGGAGGGATAGAGAGAAGGGACTCTCCGGAAGATCTTAGGGTCCTGGTGGGCTGATAGGCTGAGATACGTTCGGATAGATAAGTTGTGCCAGAACCGTTTAGGGCTTTAAAGGCCAACGCCAGCACCTTGAATTGAGCCCGGTAGCATATCGGCAGCCAGTGGAGCTGGTTCAGCAAGGGAGTTGTATGCTCCCTGCGATCAGCTCCTGTTAAAAACATGGCTGCCGCCCGTTGGACTAACTGGAGCTTCCGGACTGTCTTCAAAGGCAACCCCACGTAGAGAGCGTTGCAGTAATCAAGGCGGGATGTAACCAGAGCGTGGACTACCGTGGCTAAGTCGGGCTTCCCAAGGTACGGTCGCAGTTGGCGCACAAGTTTTAACTGTGCGAAGGCTCCCCTGGTCACCGCCGAAACCTGGGGTTCCAGGCTCAGCGATGAGTCCAGGATCACCCCCAAGCTGCGAACCTGTGTCTTCAGGGGGAGTGCGACCCCATCCAACACAGGCTGTAATCCAATACCCTGTTCGGCCTTGCGACTAACCAGGAGTACCTCTGTCTTGTCTGGATTCAATTTCAATTTGTTCGCCCCCATCCAGACCGTCACAGCGGCCAAGCACCGGTTCAGGACCTCGACAGCCTCCTTAGTAGCAGGTGGAAAGGAGTGACAGAGTTGGACATCATCTGCGTACAGATGACACCGTACCCCGAAACTCCGGATGATCTCCCCCAGCGGCTTCATGTAGATGTTGAACAACATGGGAGACAGTATTGAGCCCTGAGGAACCCCACAAGACAAAGGTTGTGGGGTTGAACAGGAGTCTCCCCATAACACCATCTGGGACCGACCCTCGAGGAATGAGCGGAGCCACTGCAAAACAGTACCTCCAAGACCCATCCCCGCGAGGCGTCCCAGAAGGATACCGTGGTCGACGGTATCGAAGGCCGCTGAGAGGTCGAGCAGCACCAACAGGGACACACTCCCCCTGTCGAGCTCCCGACGCAGATCATCCACTAAGGCGACCAAGGCTGTCTCGGTACCATGCCCCGGCCTAAAGCCAGACTGTGCCGGATCTAGATAATCCGTGTCTACCAAGAATGCCTGGAGTTGTGAGGCCACCACACGTTCCATGACTTTGCCCAAAAAGGGGAGATTGGAAACAGGCCGATAGTTGACAAATTGAGTGGGGTCCAGTGATGGTTTCTTCAACAGCGGTTTTATCACAGCTTGCTTTAAGCTGGCTGGAATTGTGCCCTCCCGAAGGGAGGCATTAACCACCACCTTCACCCACTCGGCCAATCCCCCTCTGGCCTCCTTTAGAAGCCAGGATGGGCAGGGGTCTAGGATGCATGTGGTAGCTCTCATTCCTCCAAGCACCTTGTCCACATCCTCGGATTGACCAATTGAAATGAATCCATCAAAACCGGACAAGCAGATGCTCGTGTTACATCCTCAGAGACTGCCGTTAATATGGTGTCCAGACCAGAGCGGATCAAAGCGACTTTGTCTGCAAAGAACTGAGCAAAGGCTTCACAGCGAACTGCCGAGTCATCAGGGCACCCATCCTGGATGGTGGGTTTTAAAAGGCCTCTGACAACTCGGAACAGTTCAGCCGGACGGTTCTTTGCAGACGCAATAGTAGCCGCAAAGAAGATTTTCTTTGCGGCCTTTATTGCCGCGGCATATGCCCTTAAAAAGGACACAAACCGTGTTCGGTTTGGCTCGCTCGGATCCGAACGCCACACGCTCTCTAGTTCCCTCTTCTTTCGCTTCAACGCTGCCAGCTCCTCGGTGAACCAAGGGAGCTGGTTTAGCTCGGCTACTTGAGAGGGGACGTTCTGGAGCGATCGTGTCTCTTGCCCTAGTCATCTCCCCATTCCAGAGAGCGACCAGAGCATCAACAGGATCACCAACCGCGGTGGCGGGAAATCCCCAAGAGCCATCAGGAAACCATCCGGATCCATAAGCCTCCTAGGGCGGACCAATTTAATGGGTCCTCCACCTCTGCGGAGGTTAGGGGGTGCAGCAAGTCTAAAACTGACCAGGTGGGGTCGGTCCATGGCAACGGAGAGATGGATAACTCCTCAACACCGCCACCTTCCTCCCATCCCTGACAGAAAACCAAGTCCAATGTATGTCCAGCACTGTGGGTGGGGCCAGATACTTGTTGGGACAGCCCCATGGTTGCCATGGTAGACATGAAGTCCTGAGCCGCTCCCGATGAGGCGGACTCGGCGTGGATGTTGAAGTCCCCCAGCACAAGAAGCCGTTGGGACTCCACCACCAGACTCGAGACCACCCCCGCTAGCTCAGGTAGGGAGACTGTAGTGCAGCGAGGTGGACGGTACACTAACAGAATCCCTATTCTGTCCCGGTCACCCACCCTCAGGTGGACGCATTCAAAATTTGTGGTCTGTGGGATGGGGCCCCTGGTCAGAGGAATGGTATCTCTATAGACCACTGCAACCCCGCCTCCCCGCCCTCCGGATCTCGGTTGGTGCTGCACAGAGAACCCTGGTGGGCAAAGCTGGGTTGAGTTTACACCTCCCGCTTCATCCAACCAGGTCTCTGTGATGCACGCCAGATCTGCCCGTTCATCCAGGATTATATCCTGGATGAAAGTTGTTTTACCGTTGACAGATCTGGCGTTCAACAGCACCACTTTCAATCCGGAAGGACCGCCATCCTGGTTACACCGACTTATCGTATCAGGAGACCGATTTGGGATTACTAAAGTTGTTCCCCATTCCCTAGGTCGAATTAGAGGTCTCCCTTTCCTGTATCTCCCCCTCCCCACCATGACTTCTATGGGGGCTCCCCGGTTAACGGAACCCCCTCCCTCCTCCATGACGCAATGAGCAGCCAACGTATCAACAAGAAATGCATCATTAGTTGTTTGACATATTATGGTTACGGGGTACCATAAACCTGTCCTCCATCTGTTTCCTATTCCCGTTTTATAATGCTCAAATCCCGTTGGCCTACTCCGTTCCCACTCTCCAGCGTAAACAATCAGTAGCAAGGTTAACAAGTACCGGGGGAAGGGTGATGACATAAGTGGTAGGTATTAGGGACTATCGGGAGAGTATTCCTGAAGTTTTTAAATGCAGATGGGTCATGCGAGATGGAATAGATAATTAAGATGCGAATTGTTTTCTCAATCCGCTCTAAGGTGCTAAAATAAAGTGCGTCATGGAGGGCCTCGATTCGATGCTAAATGGTACGTTAAGTCAAATTAAAGTGCTAAAGCTCGCAGGTTGTTAATTCAATACCACAGGAATGGTGATAGTGGTAATAATTACTACGATTAAAGTGCTAAACAAGTAAGAGCTAAAATACTCGTCAGCAGTAACACTGTTAGTTCTTAAAATCTTCTCCGGTCACTAATATAGATGATTATTATTAGTGCAATGAGAATGGTCTGCACAGTTAGTAACAATTCACAAAATCAGAAGAGATCAGCACAGCAAAATAATCGGCACAATCTGTGGTTGGTTGCACAGTCTGAGGACTACATAAAAGGAATTAGGACATGGACAACACACTCTGTCAAAATTCTATCTAAAAATGGGAACCAGCAGAATACTACAATAATCGGGCCCAAAGATAGTCAGTACAGTCTTCCGGGTTAATAATTAGCAAATGAGGGATGAAAATCTCATATGATGGCAATCTCGTATGATGGCAAGAGGTTGCCCACTTCTAGGCAAGATGGTCAATTGCCCGCGGCAGCTGGATGTACTGTTTGTTGTCCAAAGGGGTTGATCACTCCCAACTAACCAGATTTAAAGTGGCTTAGTGCTAATGGTAGTACTAAGGTGCAAAATTAGTGCCTTCTGATTTGAGTCTGATGCCAATAATCAATCAGGACGATAATTTCAAAGACCAAAGGACCCAGCTCCCTGGACCCGTGGAAGCAAACCGGCGCCCTTGGGCCAAGTCCCTGGTACTTTTTCTTGTCGTCCTCTGAAAAGATGACCCAATTCATAGAAAGGTGACGGTCCAAATGGTGAAGGCTGAAACCAGCACACATTTAACACTAATTACCAACACAGGTTCTGGCTAATTGTGATGTTAATCCTATTTTTAAGCCAGCAACCACACTACCTCGTTCCCTTCTCTTCCTCCCCCAGCGAGGCAGGAGGGAGGGGGCAGCACGGAGGAGCCTTGCAGGCTTGGTGGACGCCGCCGCTGGGCTGGGCCTCGTTCCCTTCTCTTCCTCCCCCAGCGAGGCAGGAGGGAGGGGGCAGCACGGAGGAGCCTTGCAGGCTTGGTGGACGCCGCCGCTGGGCTGGGCCTCGTTCCCTTCTCTTCCTCCCCCAGCGAGGCAGGAGGGAGGGGGCAGCACGGAGGAGCCTTGCAGGCTTGGTGGACGCCGCCGCTGGGCTGGGCCTCGTTCCCTTCTCTTCCTCCCCCAGCGAGGCAGGAGGGAGGGGGCAGCACGGAGGAGCCTTGCAGGCTTGGTGGACGCCGCCGCTGGGCTGGGCCTCGTTCCCTTCTCTTCCTCCCCCAGCGAGGCAGGAGGGAGGGGGCAGCACGGAGGAGCCTTGCAGGCTTGGTGGACGCCGCCGCTGGGCTGGGCCTCGTTCCCTTCTCTTCCTCCCCCAGTGAGGCAGCTCCAGCTTCTGTCTGCTCCAGCTTCTCATGTGGGGACATGTGAGAAGCCCCCCACAGGATGGTAAAACATCCAGGTGTCCCCTGGGCAATGTCCTTGCAGATGGCCAATTCTCTCACACCAGAAGTAACTTACAGTTTATCAAGTTGCTCTTGACACAGAAAAAAAGTTTTCAGTCCTTTCTTTAAAACCAAAAGAACTTGGAAGAATTGCTTTTTATACATAATAAAGCTACAGCATACCTAACTCCACACTACTTTCATATAGATTAAAATTCATTAAAAATATAGAAACCAGTGCCTATAATCCTCTTCACTACATGGCTCTATGGTACAACATTGGTAAGTTTACTCAGAGTCAGGTTTTACTGTAATCCTGGAGGAATGTAATCACAGAAGATACAGTCTGGGGAAAAATGGAGTAAAAATAAAGTGATAGATTGAACTTCCACCTTGATAGCCAAACCTACCTTCTCCAATGATTCTTTCAGAGGAATGGGCTGTAGAGACAATACAAGCCGGCACAGCAGTTGCAGCGCTCGCAAAATAAGTAAAAATATCTATTAAAAAAAGACAAAAAAAAAAACCCCCAAAGTAATCAATTTGGAAGCAAGTTATACAAATAATGTCCCCTCCTACCAATCCATTCACACACTTTCTTTTTAATATATATTCCTCACTAAAAAAAGCAGCAAGAAAGCTTTTCTCCACTGCCAATGTGGTGAATTTGAGACTCAGATCTCCTTTCCTCATACCACAAGTGACACAGTTATTCCAAGACCAGGCAGTGTCCAAGAGGCTCCTCTGGTCTGGGCTTTGGATACTAAGAATGAAGATGGAGTTTTGAAGATGCCATTTAAAAAAATACGAATCTTCAAATATGCCAGTAAGAGCTCTGACATGCATAGTTAAAATGGACAAAATTAGGTATTCATTTCATACATTTAAATATTCTATAAATGTGGAATGTTGGTTGCACAACATACCAAATATAACCTGACTTGTTTCACATGATAGAAAAACAATGGCTGAGAAAATACAGTTCTATCATTCTAGCTTTGACTCCCAATGTAACCCCCACAAATCCACCTCAGAAGCCAGGCAGTACCACCAACGTAGAAATTTCCAAGATGCTTTGGACCAGGGTAGTAGATGAAGTAGTATCCAGCCTTCTTCCAGGAACATGTGCCACACTCACAGAAATGGGATCCCATCACAACTACCTGTCAGTGTCTCATTGCCAGAAGACTGGGTGCTTCTTTCTCTCCCCACCCTGCTCTTCAGAATCTCAAAAACACTAATGTTGGTGAGACTGCCCAGCTCTTAAGCTAGCTTTTTTTTTTGGGGGGGGGGGGCAGACTTTCTGATTGCTGCAATGGTGAACAGCCATACATATGAATTCCAAAATATATTATTCATGACATTATAAATACTGAATAGGACATCCCCTTTATATTTACAAAGTGCATTGATTTTTTTACACTAAAAAAGTTGTTGGGAACGAAAGAGCATCAATGCATTTATATAGTAATCAGGGAGAGAGGGATTTCTAAAGTGCATGTCTACCCTTTTGTTTTCATCCTTCAGTTCCCTTGCTGTATGTTTTCAAGACTTTTTCCTTCTTCTTCCAAAAGAAGAAAAGATTCATGAGGCTTCCAGCCTCATAATGGTTGCAAGTCTACTCATGTGTGGGTAGCAGTACAGACAATGTTATACTGCCTATCTCATTTTTAAAATCTAAGATGGATTTCCTGCCACAATAAACTTAAGTTTTACTTTTTAACCTTACTAGAGCATCCTGTGTATTTTCCTCCTGTTTTATACCACAAGGGCCCCCGGTGGCACAGCAAGTTAAACTGCTGGGCTGCTGAACTTGCTGACCAAAGGTTGGCGGCTCAAATCCGGGAAGCAAGGTGAGCTCCTGCTGTTAGGCCCAGCTTCTGCCAACCTAGCAGTTCAAAAACATGCAAATGTGAGATCAATAGGCACAGCTTTTGCGGGAAGGTAACGGTGCTCCATGCAGTCATGCTGGCCACATAACCTTGAAGGTGTCTATGGACAACGCCAGCTCTTCAGCTTAGAAATTGAGATGAGCACCACACCCCAGAGTCGGACATGACTAAACTTAATGTCAGGGGAAACCTTTACCTTTTACTTTATACTACAAGTTTCTGTATTGCATTGTCTGTGTGTAACTCCACTTAGTACAGATACCAAATAATTCCTACATGAGTGACTGCTGATTGTTACTGCCATTTGAATCTTTCCATCTTTCTTGCGTTGTCACCTTATGGCAGGTACAACAGTGATCTTGCTTATCCCAAAAAAGGCTTGTGCCACTTACATGGACCAATTCTTCTTCATCTCGTGCTGCATAGATAGCAAAACGCCTCTCAAGGGTAGCTTGCCAACCTTCTTCATTATCCGAGAGTTCACTGTTAACAGTGAAGGTTGCAACAAACCTTGAAGAACAAAACTATATTTCATTGTTCTGCTTGCTTGGCTCACATCTTAATAGCAGACCTCACCATTTGGGGCAGTGTAGGGAGTTCACCCATTTTTATATGATTATTTTTTCAAATTTCTTGAGAACTTATCTTTACAAGAGCTATTTTTCTTCACTTGTCACAAATAAAAAAATAGTGCCATTTTTGTTTGTTTGCTAATTAGTTTGAAGAGAAAACAGGAGGAGAAACATCCTTACCATTTCACAAGGTTTGTGAGGTATACACGGTCTACACGATCTTCAGGCACTTTAGTGAAGCGAGTGGGGATGATAGAAAGGCCAACAGCTTGCAGATCTGGCTGACAACAGATCTTGTTTCTATAGAAGCCATTTGCTAAGAGGCACAGCAAGTGAACCTGTTGAGAAAAGGATATACTACACAGTGCACTTAAATTTTGTTTTTACACCTCAAGAGTTCAAACTCTGATCAAATTTATCTAATCTTCCAGAAGGAGAGCTCTGCCCAAGTGCGGATATTTCAGATCTGACAGATTTGTTCTTCTGAGATGCAACGTGACTCATAATATTTTAAAAGCCTTGGACTACAATTTCTGGATTGCGTGATTTTAATATTGAATGTAATGTTTTAAATCTTTAACATGTATTGATTTTAAATTGAATTTATTTTTAAGCTTAATGTTTTGTATGTGTTTTAAAGGCATTGAATAATTGCCATATGTAAGCCACCTTAAGTCCCCTTTGGGGTAGAGAAAGATGGGGCATAAATAGGGTAAATAAATAAATAAATACCATTTTAGCTGTCATGGCTTCAGTTGACAAAATCCTGAGGTTGGTAGTTTGACAAGCAACTTCAAATTCTTCAATAAAAAGAGGTAAAATGCTACAATTCCCTATTTTTAAAATCACGCTATCAATTCTAGCATTCCATAGGATGTTTTTTCGGTGTCAGGAGCGACTTGAGAAACTGCAAGTCACTTCTGGTGTGAGAGAATTGGCTGTCTGCAAGGACGTTGCCCAGGGGACGCCCAAATGTTTTGATTTCACCATCCTTGTGGGAGGCTTCTCTCGTGTCCCTGCATGGGGAACTGGAGCTAACAGAGGGAGCTCATTCACGCTCTCCCCAGATTCTTCCCAGAATCATCAGTCTTGCCTGCACAAGGGTTTAACCCATTGCACCACTGGGGGCTCCTATCCCATAGGATACAAACACAACAGTTAAAGTGGGACTAAACAGCTACAACTGAGCAGCACAGACATATTCCAAGAGATTCAGAACACGTGAGGGTAGGCTGCAACTCTCATCCATAGCTACTATGAATCTCCTTCGGGAGAAATAAAGCGGGATGATAATAACAACAACAATTTTTTTGCTGTTGTTTATTCAATCAGTCACTTCCGACTCTTTGTGACCTCATGAAGCAGCCCACGCCAGAGCTCCCCGTCGGCTGTGGCCACCCCCAGCTCCTTCAAAGTCAAGCCAGTCACTTCACATCACCACCCATCCACCTTGCCCTTCTTCCTTTTTCCTTCCATTTTCCCCAGCATCATTATCTTCTCCAAGGAATATGCTGCCTTGGAATGTGATGGAATCTCCTTCTCTGGAGGTTATTAAGCAGAGGCTGGATGGCCATCTGTCAGGAGTGCTTTCATTGCATTTTCATGCATGGCAGAATGGGGTTGAACTTGGTGACTCTTGGTATCACTTCCAACTCTATGATTCTATGAAATTACTTAAAATAATATGTATAAAATTACCTTCAGGCTTTGTGCAAGCTGTTTATGAAATATAGATAATTTTTGTGTTTAAATTTGAATCCATATATGTAATTATATATCTCTAAGTTATCTGATAACATGTATATAAAATAAAAAAAATATCCAAAATCCCAAATATTTCTGGTCCCAAACATTTCCAAAAAGGGATACTTAGCCTGTACTGCCATTCTTGAATTTCTATGTAACTCCTCTAATGAAGAGAACTCAAGAGACAGCAGCTTCTCTATTGCTGTTATTTAAATAGAAGCTGAACAACCATTTCTGACTAATTCTTTCATGATATTCTACCCTGAACATCCTGAACTGAGGAGTTTGCACCTCTAAGCTTTTTCTGTGCAGAGGAGAAAACCTCATGAGACATATGCAAATTTTGCTACTTGAAGTTGCTGCCTCTTTCCTATATTTTACCTTGTGAGTATCTTCGCGGACTTCCTTGTTGAAACGTTTCATCATTCTACGGAGGTAAGTCTCAAACTCAGTCTGCCTTTTCTCTCTGGAAGATGCCATGAAAACATGTAAATGATAAGTGAGATTCAGGAACTACATTACTTGACTCCGAACACATGCCCGAAGCAAGAAAACAAATTTGGAGATAACTGTTTATCACAGATTATATACCATGTGTATGCTAAACCCTGGATTTAGTAGCCAAATTTAAGAAAAATATAGACCATCCAGTTGCTTTCAAAAATGTAACTAGCTGACGAATACAGCTAGTAAGATATATAAATACCAGGATGGAAATGATCCTGCCCACAGTGGCTGTTTTAAGGGCAGAAGAGCAAAAAAAGTATTCAAAATAGCACATCTTCATATCTTCAAATAATTGCTTCATTTTCTGAAGGTAATTATATATTTTAGCTATCATTCAAGCTTCATTTTCTGAGGATAATGAGCATTTTCAATCTTTAGTTTTTAAAATCTATGCCTTAAATCCAAAGCTTAAGTCGTTTTGGAGAAATGAGTTGCCTTCGGGCTGATATGGGTGGAATAAAAGTGATGGAAATAAATAAACAAACTTTGGACACTGAGCTTGTGGGGCTCAACTTACCTTCTCTCTCTTTTCTTTGCCTGTTCTGGGGTCTCAATCTCTATTTCAACTGCTTCTTTGGGAAGCGTTGGTGCAGCAACCTTTTCCAGCAACTCTACCTCAGGCTCATGAAGTTCTGGAAACAAAATGCATATCTTGATATAGTGGTTCAAACATTCTTCAGTGTGACTTGCTAAGGTAAAGGTTTCCCCTTGACATCAACTCTAGTTGTGTCCAACTCTGGGGGGTGGTGCTCATCTCCATTTCTAAGAAAGTTGAAAACCTAGTTTTTTGAGCGGGCCTTCCCAAATACAGCATAGTTATACAGAATCATGGAACGACTTGACAATGCAATTGAATAATGACAACATGGAGACACTCACGACAATGTTTTTATGGCTTTGTATGGTTTTTAAATATTATTATATTTTATGCTAAATGTTTTTAACATTATTTTATGATTGTTTTATTGTTATAACTATTGAGGCATCATATTGTTGCCAATTGTGAACCGCCCTGAGTCGACTCTGGGCTGAGAAAGACGGTATATAAATGTGGTAAATAAATAAATAAACCAAAGAGCCGGCATTGTCCGTAGGCACCTCCTAGGTCATGTGGCTGGCATGACTGCATGGAATGTCATTACTGTCCCGCTGAAGTGGTACCTATTGGTCTACTCACATTTGCATGTTTTTGAACTGATAGGTTGGGAGAAGCTGGGCCTAACAGCGGGAGCTCACCCCACTCCCAAGATTTGAACAGCCAAATTTTGGTCAGCAAGTTCAGCAGCTCAGCGGTTGACTTGCTAGTTTAAATCAAATAACTTTTTTTTAAAAAAAAATCACTTTTGAACATTAAAGCATGGATAACCTTAACTCAGTGGTAAACAAAAATAATACAAAAGTAGATGAGATAGGATAAAATCTGGCTTGTTGAAGAAGATTTTAGTTAGAGAATAAGCCCAAAGACTGCTGTATTAAATGAATGAATGAATGAAAGAATCATGATCTATGAAGAAGGAAACCAAAGCTGTATTACCTTCGACATCTTCCCACTCATCTTCACTTTCCTCCTCTTCCTCTTTCTTTTTGATGGTGATCTCTTTTTTTATATCTTTCTTTTGAGGACTGCTCTGCAAGCCACTATAATACATGCAAGAATAAATGAGCAGGCATCTATTACAACACTTGCTCTCACTTAATTTTGCACTTTTCCTCTGGCATGCCCATGTTTGCAAGTTAGCTTCTTTCAAAGAAACTACATTTCACTTTGAGTGAATGGGCTCATCTGCAGTGTAGAATTAAACAGTTTGACACTACTTTAATTGCTATGGCTTAATGCTATAGAATTCTGGAATTTGTAGTTTGGTGAGGTACCAATTCTCTTTGGCAGAGAAGGCTAAAAGCTTTACAATGCTAAAGTTTCCAGTATTCCTTAGCATAGAACCATGGTAGATAAAGTGATATCAAGTTGCATCAATTCTGCAGTGTATATACACCATATAGTCTATTGATCATATTCCCTGGGGAAACACAGGACCCGCACAAAGGTGGAAAAATGGGAATGAAAAATTGTCGGTTTTTTTACATCAGAAAACACCTTCCACTGGAAACTGACCATACATTCATGCTTGATGACAAACAAATGCCTAAAGAAATGCTTTCCAGTGTGGCTATATAGCTTCTGTCAGTCAGCAGAAGTTGACCATAGCGTTGTGCTGGAGGACTTAGAAATTCCTAAAGAGAACATATTAATTAAAACCACAAAAGTTAAACCCAGAAGTGTGAAGGGCTGATTGTATATTTACTTGGCATAGCTTTTGGGGATTTGTGGGGAGTCCTTTGGGAGAGATGGGGGAACTGAGTCCTGACTCCCATATACTTCCATTGCAAGACACCATTGATTCTAACATGCACCCTAATATCAGTACCACCACCAACAACAAAAATGCATAAGATACACCTGCAATTCTAAGACACATCCGATTTTAGAAATGTTTATACAGGGAAAATGTGTCTTCGTATTGTACAAATACACTAATTACCCACCTCTGATTTACAAGCAATGCATTAACACATTTTATTTATTTATTTGCTATATTTCTGTCCTACTCTTCTCACCCTTGCAGGTGTACAGAGTAGCAATATTTAATACTGCTTATTCAACAACATAAAATAAAATACATCAATGCAATAGTTAAAACATATAAATATCATAAAATGATTAAAACATAAAACCCAGTCCTAAGGTCATCATTTGCATGCTACATTGTGCCTGATTGCAAATCCAGGTGTTCTTCTTCTTTTTTCCTGAACACCAGGAGGGTGTTATCCTATTACCCTTATTTGGATCCACTTACCAACAGAAGCAGTCAAACTATGATGGAAGTCATCAATAAATAAAAGCTCCGGGACTCCTGAACTATCTCTTTCCTAACAAATCAGAACCTAAAACTGGAGTTCACTCACTCATGGTTTACGATTCTTGGAACCAGACACAGTGCTAAGCTTTAGCTTGTTGCTGCAAGAAGTACAAAATCAGAGCAATTCTGGTTTGTTGTTTATGTGCAAACCTGACCTATACAGTCACTCACCTGGATCTCTCTCCCTTCTTACAGGATCTTTGTCTTTCTACAGCGCTATTTTCCTCTTTAACTCTGGGCTTTTTGGCCTTCTGTTCTGCATTTTTGTAGGAGGAGGAAGAAACACTTTCTTCATGTTCTCTTTTCTTCTTTTTTTCGGAGGAAGCCTTGGGCAAACGTTTTGTGTTTTTGGGTTTTTCAGCTTCAAAATCATCTGTATCAAATGAGGGGTAGGATAGAGAAAACAGAAATCATACATTTGGGAGAAAGTGATGATCTCTTTGATGCACTATAATTCTAATATGCAACGGACCCCAATGTAAATATTAATAACTGCTGAAGTGTTCTCTGTGTTTCTTTCTTTCCCATAATTATCTACATTCAAACCCAGTCCTGTTCAAACACACTTAGATGGAAATCTTAATCTTACTTCCAGCATCATTTAGATGGAAATCCCCCAATCTTACTTCCAGCATCTCCAGCAGCCTGCACCTCGTCATTCATTAAACGCCTGATGGCAGAGGTATATTTTTACCTGTCTATTTAGACTGTTCTAAACAATCCTGGGAAAGAAGAAACTGCTATTTCTAAAAACAAGGAATGATGAAAGCTGCTGAACCTTGGAAACTAAAAATGCAGCACTCCCACATGGTGTGTCTTTATGGCTTGTTTTTAGATAGAGTAGATGAGAACATAAACTATAACTGAGAAAAATGACATATAATGTCAGTTTATACATTTCATTTCAAGCCACCAAGTGATAGGAAATCAAGCATCCTATGCAAATGTCTGAAGGCTAATAGCACAATGAAGACTAAACATGCAACTGCAACCACCTGGGTCTACTTCCTCCATTATTGCTTATGTAAGGTTTCAAACTGTACAGTCCTTGGGGCAGAATACTCTGGGTAGTATAAAATACAGGAATATTAATATTCGTACAAGTTTTAAAGCTGACTCCAATTTCTGACAAGCCTATCCTAGGATTATTACCTTAATACTATTACTGTAATTAAAATATGTAGTGATCAAATAGCCAATAACAAAAACTTTTATTCACAATATTTTTGTATCATCTTTCAAGGCAAAGCACTGGAGCTCAGGCTGCACTGTAGTAAGTGGTTTGCTCTTCTACAGTGTGACACTGAGCCCTGCCACATGAACCTTCTTACAGCGATACCAGAGGCACTCCAAGGGCCCTTCTACACAGCCCTATATCCCAGAATATCAAGGCAGAAAATCCCATAATATCCGCTTTGAACTGGGTTATCTGACTCCACGCTCAGATTATGTGGGATTTTCTATCTTGATATTCTGGGATATAGGGCTGTGGGGAAGGGCCTCAAGTGGCCTGCTTCTGGTCAAAGGACATTTCGTATAATGCAAAGTTTTAAACTTTGTTTGTGTTTTTGAATACATGATAACTGTACCCTCAAGTTGCTTCTGACATGACAAATAAATAAATAAATAAGGCAAAGCAACTTGTGCGTACATGTCTTCCAAGTCACCCGTTGCCGAATGGCAACCCCATCAATTTAATGGGGTTTTCTTAAGCGAAGAAGACTCAGGACCCTTCCACAATGCCCCTATATCTCAGGATTATATGATTATCCCAGATTATTTGGCAGTGGAGACTCATATAATCCAGTTTAAAGCAGATAATCTGGGATCAGAACTTGGGATATAGGGCTGTGCAGAAGAGGCCTCAGAGATGGCTTTGTCAGTTCCTTTCTTTGAAATATAACCTGTAGCAGCTAGCATTCATTGGGGTGAAGATATACAAATATTTCACACTGCTTAGTTTCCAAGAACATGAGGGATTCTTGAATGCAGTTTTAGATAGGAAAATGTTCAGCATGTTTTAAGGGGCCTATGGCACTGGCTGTTAAGAATTGTGGGAGTTGTATTCCAAAACATCTAGAGGGCCAAAGTTTGCCCATTTCTGGTCTGGAAGATAAAAAAATTGAAAACAACGCACTCCAAAATGGTTCAATAAAAGCTACTGTCTGTTTTCTTTTCTCTTCTTGATCAAGTTCTTTTAAAAAAAGCAAAAAGAAAAGCTCGATTTTTCTTCTCTGAAACATTTTGTCATTTTCCTCATCTGAAACTTTTTGCTTAGTCTAACAGCCTCTTCTTATACAGCAAGTTTTCCTTATGTAGTTGCTGGAAGCAACTGGGCGAAAGTCTCTTCTGTTCACGTGCCTGTTGCATAAAGCAGCAGAGCATGGCATGCTGAAGACATTCACACATCAAACGCTTTCGCTGAGTCTTTTGGAAAGCCGATTCTGGAAAAGGAGGGGTGCATTTCATCCTGGAAGATTAATAAATACTCATTCCATAGGAAGCCAAAATCATTTAAAAGGTGGAGACGGATAATCTCTGTTGTTTCCTTTCGTTCGGTTTTGTACAGAGTTATGCAATGGAATCCTGGCCAGAGAGTGCCAAAAGCTGTAAATGGTTATTGATACGCTCTCAGGCCCCTTCCACACAGTTGAATAAAATCCTACACTTTCTGTTTTCCATACAGCCATGAATATTGAGGTAGAGAATCCCACCATATCTGCTTTGAACTGAGTTATTTGAGTCCACACTGAAATATAATGCAGTTCAAAGCAGATGTGGGGTTTCATACAGCTGTGTGGAAGGGGCCGCAGATGGGGCCTTACACTGTAGAATAAATGCGGTTCCACTCTGCTATGGAAAGTTGCAGTTGGGTGAAGTACCAGGACTGGGTTGTTGTAGGTTTCTTGGGCTATGTGGCCATGTTCTAGAAGCATTCTCTCCTGACGTTTCGCCTACATTTTTGGCAGGCATCCTCAGTGCTTGTGAGATGCAGGCAAAATGTCAGGAGAGAATGCTCCTAGAACATGGCCATTTAGCCTGAAAAACCTACAACAACTCAGTGATTCCGTTTATGAAAGTATTTGACAATACATTTTCCCATATATATTTATGGATTTTGTGCAGGAAAACGTCCCAGTGGATTGCACTCTGTTTCTGGTTAGTCACGACCTCTGAGGATGCTTGCTGGTATTGTATTGTCAAAGTCTTTCATGGCCAGAATCACTGAGTTGTTGTAGGTTTTTCAGGCTATATGGCCATGTTCTAGAAGCATTCTCTCCTGACGTTTCGCCTGCATCTGTGGCAAGCGTCCTCAGAGGTTGTGACTAATCAGAAACAAAGTGCAATCCACTGGGGCGTTCTCCTGCACAAAATCCATAAATATATATATATGGGAAAATGTATTGTCAAATACTTTCATAGCCAGAATCACTGAGTTGTTGTACGTTTTTCAGGCTATATGGTCATGTTATTTATTTATTTATTTATTTACTGCACTTATATACCGCAATTCTCAGCCCAGGGGCGACTCATTGCGGTGTACAACATAAAAAACAGGTGCAAAATACAAGACATAGTGTAAAAATAATCAACAATTCATCATTATCAAAAACATTCTAATCAAAATATCAACATTACTACAAAAACCATTCCATGTCGTCTCATCGTAAAACCCACAATCCGATATGATTTCTGTTGTTCCGTTCCTATGGTCAAATTATCAATCATTGCACTTCTTGTTCAAATGCCTTCCAGAAGCATTTTCTCCTGACGTTTTGCCTGCATCTCACAACCTCTGAGGATGCCTACTACAGATGCAGGCGAAACATCAGGAGAGAACATAGCCATATAGCCCGAAAAACCTACAACAACCCAGTGATTCTGGCCATGAAAGCCTTAGACCAGTGGTTCTCAACCTGGGTTCCCCAGATGTTTTTGGCCTACAACTCCCAGAAATCCCAGCCAATTTACCAGCTGTTAGGATTTCTGAGAGTTGAAGGCCAAAAACATCTGGAGTTGGGACAATACAATACCAGGACAATACAATACCTTAGACAATACAATACTAGGACTCTTTGGCAGAGAAGGCCAAATCTCTTAAAGCGACAGGGCCCTCGATCCCATAGCACTGAGATATGGCAGTGCCAAACTGCATTCATTCTACTTTTTGTTTTCTTTGCCTTGTCAGGAGCGACTTGAGAAACTGCAAGTCGCTTCTGGTGTGAGAGAATTGGTCGTCTGCAAGGACGTTGCCCAGGGAATGCCCAAGAGATGATTTGATGTTCTTATCATCCTTGTGGGAGGCTTCTCTCATGTCCCCGCATGAGGAGTTGGAACTGATAGAGGGAGCTCATCCGCCTCTCCCCGGATTCGAACCTGCGACCTGTCTGTCTTTAGTCCTGCCGGCACAGAGCTTTAACCCACTGCGCCACCGGGAGCTCCTTCTACATTCTACAGTGTGTCAGGGGCATTGTGTGTATCCCCTCCCTCCCTCCCTTCATCACGGCCTTAATGCAGGATCCCAGCGCCTGGCTCTTTCGGGGTCTCACCGCCTGGCTTCCCGTCCCCGCGGGGCCTCTTGCCGGCGCCCTGCAGCGAGGGGCGGCCCTTGCGCTTGTTGCTGTCGCCCATCGCTGGCGGCTCCTTCGGGGCTTCCTTCCCGCATGGGGAAAACAATGGAGACAGAACGCGAGCGCGCCACTGGCCACTAGGGGGCGTGCCGGCGCAGCCAGAGATTGAGGAGGAAGAGGAGGATCTAAGTTGGCTTCCTAGGCCTTGGCAAACTTGGGCCCTCCGAGCGTTTTGGACTTCAACTCTCACCATTCCGCCCAGCCTCAGGCCCCTTCCTTTTGCCTCTCAGCCGCTTAAGCGGCTGAGAGGCAAAAGGAAGGGGCCTGAGGCTGGGCGGAATGGTGAGAGTTGAAGTCCAAAACGCCTGGAGGGCCCAAGTTTGCCCAATCCCTCTTTTCCCCCCTAGAACTCCAACTCCCAGAATCCTCAACACTCTTGGACCACGATGAGGGATTCTGGGAAATTGAGTCCGAAAGCACTACTATATAGAAGCCAAACTCTGTGGAAACGGACGCGACCCGGAAGTGAGCGCCTGTGAGAGTGCCTCTGCAATAAGTCTAGCGCGCCTGCCGCTAACACAGCGGGCATAAAATACCGCGAGAAGAGATTCGAGCCGCCTTTGAAAAAATGGCGGACGAGGTTGATCAGGTGGGTGACCGCGTTATCTCCTGAATCTCTTTTGGGGAGGCAATGGAGGGGAGAAGGTGGGCTGATTTTAACATTTATTTATTTATTTACGACATTTATATGCCGCCCTTCGCACCCCGAAGGGGACTCAAGGCAGCTTACAAGGTATATATACATACAATATATTATATTGTATTGTATTGTCGAAGGCTTTCATGGCCGAAATCACTGGGTTGTTCTAGGTTTTTTCGGGCTGTATGGCCATGGTCTAGAGCAGTGGTTCTCAACCTGGGGTCCCCAGATGTTTTTGGCCTTCAACTCCCAGAAATCCTAACAGCTGGTAAACTGGCTGGGATTTCTGGGAGTTGTAGGCCAAAAACATCTGGGGAGCCCAGGTTGAGAACCACTGGTCTAGAGGCATTCTCTCCTGACGTTTCGCCTGCATCTATGGCAAGCATCCTCAGAGGTATATTATATTATATATTATATTATTAATATAGTACCGTATCAGTATTAAATATTACTATATTGTACTATACCATTATATTGTAATGTTATTAGTAATATTACATGTAATATAAATATATAATTATTAAAATATCATATTATATTGTATTACATTATAATATTATAAATATTATATGTATATACAATATACAGTGGGTTAAAGTGCTGAGCTGCCGAGCTTCTCAACTGAAAGGTCGTAGGTTCATGGAGCGGCGTCTCTAGTATCCTTCCCTCCAATGAGCAGTCGGGCCCCATTTCCTGGAGGATGGACTGGTTGGATCTTCTTGCAGTCCACGGCACTCTCAGAACTTTCCTCCAACACCACAGTTCAAAAGCATCTATCTTCCTTCGCTCAGCCTTTCCTAAGGTCCAGCTCTCACATCCGTAGGTTACTATCTTGTAAGCTGCTCTGAGGTTCTCTTCAGGGTGAGAAGGGTGGCATATAAATGTCATAAATAAATAAATAAGAGCCAAAAACCCATTTGAGTAGAATCTTCTCAAATAGTATACAACCAAATATAGTATGTGTCAATGTCTTTTATTATGTTTTTTTACTCCAATGGTTTTATTGTTTTAGTATATTTTATTGTTAAATGTTTTTAATTATGTTACTTGTAACCTTTGTTTATGTTGGGCTTGATCACCCTGTAAGCCGCCTCAAGTCCCCTTGGGGAGATTGTGGTGGGATATAAGAATAAAGTTATTATTATTATTATTATTATTATTATTATTATTATTATTATTATGTCTTCAGTTGTTAGACTGAACCTATTGTCTCTGATCTGTTAGGAAAACAGAGAATGTGCCAATGCATAAAAACAGCAGAGTTTCAGAAGTGTTTTTCAGTGCCCAAAATATATATCTATATAAATACATCAACTAGTTTTATATCATGCACTCAAGAGTCAAAAATGAAGTAGGCTTTGATAAAAAAATGCTTTACTCACAGCCTTCATGTTCAGCATAACACAGGTACACAGCTTATCAGTCCAATTTCAGATATGTTTGAGATAGTTTCTATGTGCAGATGACACAAGGCTTCTTTCTTTCAACAACAGCAGGCAAGTGTTGGTCTGAGTCTAAGAAGAAATCTAAAATGGAGTCTGAGGTCTGAACAGTCTCAGATCAGATCATGTGGTGTGCAGCCCCTCCCACAACCTCTCAGGAAACATAGAGCAAAAGAAGCTACATATCAGAACAGGCATACAAAACAGTAAGAAAACAGATTAATATATTAACAGATTACTAGAGGAGGCTTGAAGAAGGCTGTAATTTCCAACATTTGGGCAGTATGGTCATGTTCCAGTAGCATTTTCTCTAGACATTTTGCCTGCATCTGTGGCAAGCATCCACTGAACAAACCTCTCAGGATGCTTGCTATAGATACAGGTGAAACATCAGTAAATAATGCTTCTGGAACATGGCCATATAGTCCAAAAAACTTACAGCAACCTAAAGACAATAATGCTTGGGAAGAGCACTAACCACTTTATCACACTAGAGAAAAAAAAATCCACTTAAAATCTGGCTTCTGCCTCCTGCAGAATTCTGGGGTAGTTTAGTGAGCCAGAAACCGGATTTTAAGTGGATTTTTTCTTCTGTGTGACAACAGTAACACCGCATTTTCGATGGATAGAATCAAGAAATTAAAAACAGGTGTCATGAAATGAAGTACTTTTTGCTTCCTAAGTGGCTTTTCTATAGAAGTGACTAAGTGGCTAAACTGAGACTGTTGTATTTTAGATGTATCATGAGAAGACATGACTCACTAGAAAGAATGACAATGCTTAGAAAGGTAGAAGGTAGGAAAAGAGGAAGGCTGCATAACATATCAAGGAAGCCAGGGTAAATGTCATCTAAGGCTTTTCTTCATGGAGTTCATCCGTATCGTTTTATCCATAGCAATTATTTGTGATCTCGTTCTTTATAGCAACAAACTACTAATACAGTAGAAGAACCTTTGGATCTCATCAGACTTAGTCTTGATGAACGAATTTATGTGAAAATGAGAAATGACCGAGAACTTCGAGGCAGATTACATGTAAGTGAAACTCTATTGAAATGCATGGTGATGGTAAACTGCACTATAAAATAGAATTTGGCTAGTGTTCATTCAAAAACTTTTACAACAAAGATTAATGCATTAATTACCACACAAGACAGAAGAGACGTTCAACACGTTTGAGCAGATTTGTATTCAAAAATAACAACATGCCCATGTTAAATGAAGTTTCTCTACATCCCTAATCACAATATGGACTTTGGAACATCCTTTGAATATCCTTTGAAAATGGTAAATTTACATGTAGCCTATACAATTTGAAAAGTGTTGATTTATCTTATTTCTCAGAAGGGCTTCCTGAGATGGTCATTTCTATAAATGAATGAGCAGGTGCAATTCATGTTTTCAAAGTGCAGTGTCCTCATGTGAATCATTGAACTGGCTTAGTGGCAGCAGAACACTAGACTTGCTGCTCACAGAAGGGACCCTTCACCTGTGTAAAAAAACTGCCTCTTGATATGGCCACTTTCTCTTCAGACACCCCAAACAGACGGCAGGTGAGATCTGTGAATGCATGTTGCATTCATGTTGCCAGGGAATATGCCTGGCAGGTGGAGGATTGGGTTTTAATCCTCATCTGAACTGAAGAGTGGGAAGTAGACTGTTTAGGATGCAAAGGTAGATATGCAAGTGAACTCAGATCCCCCTCCTTCCCTGTTGAATTATTGTCAGGTAAACTAGTTATCCTTTATTGCACTGGCTCATCGGAGCTGAAGAATCAAAACAAATACTTCCTTATATGGGAGAAAATATTTCAAGATGGAGTCTCCCTATGTTCAAATAAACACCTGCTTTATTCTCCCACCACTACTATTTCTCCTTGAGGCATAGCTACAGTTCCATTTATACCTGGTTCTTTAATGTGTGCTTTGTTTCTTGGTAAAAGGAATCCTGATTGTTTCAAGGTTGCCATCTTATTTACTTTGGGTTAAAGGCTTTGTATATATTTTTGAATAAAAACAAAAATTACAGGCATTACCTTATCCAAAAATAAACATTGTTTGGTTCTCTGCTGGAGATGTAAATTGTTTATAAGGATGTAAATATTGTCATGAATATTAAAAATTAAATATATTGTGAACATCTCATTTTCAAAGGCTTACGACCAGCATTTAAATATGATTTTGGGTGATGTTGAAGAAACTGTGACAACAATAGAGATTGATGAAGAAACGTATGAGGAAATCTACAAAGTAAGACATTTGAATATTTCTGAATTTCTGCAATTGTCGGGTGCTAGTTTAGATGCAGATCTAAAATGGATCTTTTGGATCTCTATTTACTTATAGATCTATGCAACATCCTACATGTAAACTAGATTTAACTTGAATAATGTGTAAATTAAAATACAAGTTATTGTTTTTCTGTTTGTATAATTTTTTTTATTTAAGATTTACTGCTAGAAAATGTGTTTTTTTAATGTTTGGGCTTTGACATTTTTAAAGTAACTTGAAATCTTTACAGCAGATTTTATGTTTTGGTTTGTTTTTCATAGCCTGAAAATTTCTGCTTTCTCTTTTCATAGTCCACCAAGAGAAATATCCCTATGCTGTTTGTCAGAGGAGATGGAGTCGTACTTGTCGCTCCTCCACTGAGGGTTGGCTGATACTATGAAAATGGATTATTTGGACCTCAACTTACTGGTTTCTTCTCCTCTTAAATATAAAGACTCTGCACGTAATTTTACACAGATCTTTACAACCTAGACTGTGTATTGTGAATTCATGACTTGATTTGGGAAATAAATGTTATAAAACGTATTACCTGGAATAATATAAGTAACATTCCCTTCTGCATCAGATTGGTGTATTCAGCATTTTAGTTAATGTCTGTGGGCACTGCTCTCCTATTTTTTTAAAATAAATTTCATTTACTTATTTTGTATATCTGCTGATGTATAAGCACTATTCACACACTGCTTTTTCTTCAGTGTGGTGCAGTATTCTCTGATTATTTCTGTTTGGTTCCAATTGACCACATCTAGTGCAAATCAGTTAGGACTGCATTATGTGTTTACTGTTTAAGTGATAATCACTGCAGAAGATTAAAGGGGATACATTAGGCATGGGCAAAAGTCCAGGTGTTTTGGACTTCAACACCCACAATTCCTAACAGCTGGTAAGCTGGCTGGGATTTCTGGGAGCTGAAGTTCAAAACACCCAGTGGATCAAAGCTTGCCAATGCCTGGGCTACTTGCACACTACGTATATAAACTTCAGTAATTGTATCTCTCTTCAAGAAGAATGCCAGAAGGTCTACAGAAATGCAGTGAGGAAGACATACAGGACGATCATGAAGTGAAAACCAGTTCTCTTTCTTCCCTAGTAATGACAATAACTGTTAAAAAGTAAAATTTCCAAGCAGTTAAAGTGATGCAGATAACACATCCTAGCTATTTATGCTGCACACAAAAATGGGCTTTCATTGCCCTAAGTCCAATTCTTAGTCCTAATTCAATTATTGTTAATAGTAATGATTATCTTTTTTCCTACCCTGTCTTTTTTCGCAATAGGTATCCATTAAATCAATATGACTTTAAATGCTGGTTTATCAACCTCTCAGTGATTCATTGGCTACATTCTAGCTTAATCAAAAAATTGGATTTGAGCCATTATAATTACACTTGAATAATGGAGGAGGATTGACACATTGTGTTCTGTGTAATGAAATGGATTGGCACGATTCAGCAAGTGCTGGCATAGCATTGTTCAACTTTCTCTATTTAGCACTGCTGTTATATTTTTATATACGTATAATCAGTCTCCAAGCATTTGGCAACAACTGTTCTTCATTTTCCACAACACTCACCACTCCAAACTGTCGTATTTGCCCTCTGTGCCTGTGACCTTGCATGATTCCTGCCTCTGCGGAACACTTTGGATCTTCACTAAACACTAGGTGGTGCTGCCTGTATTCAGATTATGTTTGATCTAGATAGCAATGTAACTGGCCTGTTATCTCATCAATAATGTAACTCAATGTACTATGCGGCAAAGTATTTTCATCAAATTAATCCATTTGTTTCTGATGAAATGTTGCCTTAATGTGGAGTCCTACGTAGGCAGTTACAGAACAAAATGTTTAAAGAACAAAATGTTTCCTCGTCATTTTATAAATATCAATGACTCAAGACTTAAAATGGTTAGGTACATTTATAGTCTCAGTTTTATGCTCCCTGCAACAGTATTACATCTAGCAGTTGTGAACAGGTGCATAGAGGAAAGTAGAGGGGCGTAAGAAGAAAACAGGAAGGATGTGTGTAGGTGTTTTGCAGTGACTTTTATAGCCACACTAAGAGGCTTTGCTAGTGACAGTAGGCCTCCCAGTGAACATATACCAAAACTTGGCCCTTTATTGCATCATTGTTTTGGAATACTATTGGAAAACTACTTCTGGAAGACAATCATACTTGGCCACGAGGAATTGCCTATGATGATGAGTGTCGGGAGAGCAAGAAGTAGCGATATAACAATATAATTAATATATAATAATATAATATAATAATATAGCAATATAACACTTGGTTTAGCTATAACAATGAGGTACAACCTGGCCAGACTCACCACATAGATTCCCAAGTGCATTACACTGACAAAAGATCACCTTGGCCCAAGCTGGACATTATATTCCTATTGATGCAGCCTACAATTACTGTATCAAAGCTACTGACACATGCTTAGACTGTGGTCTACTAAGATCCCCAGGTTCTTTTCACATATACTCTTGTCAAACCAGATATCAGCCATCCTGTATTTGTGCATTTCATTTGTTCTGCTTTGTGAAAATTCACTTTATAGGTTTTGGACCAACTCTCTAATCTGTTATGGTAATTTTGAATCATGATTCTGTGGTATAAGCTACCCTTTCTAATTTTATGCCATCTGCAAATTTAGTAAATATTGACATCTAATTCATCATTCAAGCAGGCTCTTGCAAAAGTGGAAAAAATGATTTTTTTTTAAAAAAAACCCTACTGTTTCTGAGTGAGGGATCACTTCTCTAGAAATCTCTATATACTCCAGTGGAACTCTATGGTCAGTTTTCACCAGAATCATAGAATCATGGAGTTGGAAGAGACCTTGTAGGCCATCCAGTCCAACCACCTGCCAAGAAGCAGGAAAGTCACATTCAAAGCACCCCTGAAAGATGGCCATCCAGCCTCTGCTTAAAAGCCTACAAGGAAAGAGCCTCCACCACACTCCGGGGCAGAGTGTTCCACTGCTGAACAGCTCTCACATTCAGGAAGTTCTTCCTAATATTCAAGTGGAATCTCCTTTCCTGTAGTTTGAAGCCACTGTTCTGTGTCCTAGTCTCCAATGTCAGCTCACGGCAGCCGGTTCAATGATGACACGAGACTTCCATCGTAATCAAACAAAGACCTTTACTATCGGATGCATAGACACAGGAAAAGGCCGGGATTGCCTGGCCGCGACAGGCAACCCCTTATATACACTCCCACCCATTCAAGGAGTGGGTTCCCGCCAGACCCAAAACCCCGTGCGAAATCTCCCGCCACCAAGTAACTGCCTTCCTCCAAGGCCACCAGCTGCAGGGTCTTTATCTGAGTGAAGCGTCAGGAGTCTAGTTTTCGGCGCCAAAACCTAGGCTCCGGAAACTGGATCCTGACACTCCAGGGCAGCGGAAAACAAGCTTGCTCCCTCCTCCCTATGACTTCCCCTCACATATGGATACATGGCCATCATGTCTCCTCTCAGCTTTCTCTTCTGAAGCCAACCATTAGAGTCATCCTGATGATCTAGTCATTCCTAAAGAACGTATTTATTAAATATGTAAATAATCAAATTCAGAAAAGTGAAATGTGGAGGGCCAACCATATAATTATTCTTAATAATACTAGGCCCAGGACAAAACTCTTGAGGTACACCTTCAGCCATGCATCTCCACAATCAAGAGGAACCATGGGGTAGCACTCTGGGTTCTGCCTGTTAAAGGCATCTTTGTTGTTGAAAGCACTTGCTTCAGACGATGCTTAATAATTGAAAGGCATCATGGTGTTCCAATCAGATAGAATGGTTTCCCTGGGACTCATGCAGTGCCCACAGAGAACATGAAAAAAGAAGATATTTAGCAAATGCATACTGAAGTGGATGACTACTTTTGTTACTTCCACATTAAGACAGAACTAGGATAAATTCAATGGAATAATTGAATCAATTACCACACAGGCAGCCAAGAAACCTTATACTAGCTGGCCCTTGGCGAAAATATGAAGAAATAGCCAGGAAGATGAATTCTGATGTTTTATTTAATTTATTAAAGGTTAGTTGAATTCTTATCAGTTGAGACAAGCGATGCTGCCATCCTTTTGAAAAATGGCAATACATGGCATTATGCTGGATTCTACAAAAATTAGCAGCTTATCCAAGTAAGCCTGGCGCATTATGGAGAGAAAAAAAGCAGCTGTTTGTTCAGGGCTTGGTCCCATTCTATGGGATGGTCTTTCTTTCCTTAGTAATGTTATCGAGCCAGCATACCCCCCTTCCCAAATTAATCTGGACCAGAAGACTTTGCATGAATTTATACAATTGTTTACATTTTCCCTCTTCATCGAAGTTCTGCTATTTTGAAGTTGGTGAAAGCTCTAAAATGACCCAGAAGTAGCTATACCCCATGTTTTATCAAACAAAATGTACCAAGGTTTTGATGTATGGTGTATTAATTAATACAGTATAAGGCTAAAACCAAATGTATTTGTAAAGGCACCCGTTCACCCAGTCCCCTCTATTAACAAACTCCTGGGAACTGAGATCACTGAACCATTAGAAAATATCCCTCCAGCGATCTCCTAAGCATAGACATGAAATCCCTTTGTGTTAGTAAAAGACAGATAATCCCTTTATCAATAGGGTTGCGTTTTACACTGTTTACCTGACCAGATGTGTCCAGAGGTTTATGACTTCCACAGAGAATAAAGCTAAGCAAAGATGAATAAATCAGCATTTTGAATGGGCAACTGAGCCTCTGGATATCGCATTATCACCTTTTGTCTCCTATGCCCATCACCTTTTTCTTCTGTGGAACTGGACATTAAGTCAATCAAATCATTGTCTTCCTCAGTTTCCCAACCCTCACGGGGGGGGGGGGGGTATCCCTGCAACAGACTGGACCTTTAAACTCACCAATAGGTAGCTGTTCTTCTTCCCACCATGGGGAACCCTTCCTCTTGCCTGTGATAAAATGGAAAGCCCTGGCCAATCCCTCCATAGATCTTAGCCAGACCTTTTCTCAGCCAATCAGGGGATATGCTGAGAATAGCTGTCAAAGTGTATATAATGTTATGTATTCCTCTGTATATACACTTTGACAGCTATTCAGGCTTCCTGCATCTCGCCCTCATTGGCTGAGAAAATGTTATGTATTCCTCTGTCTTGAAGTGACTGGCTTGACTTTGAAGGAGCTGCGGATGGCCACGGCCGACAGAGAGCTCTGGCGTGGTCTGGTTCATGAGCTCATGAATAGTCAGAAGTGAATAAACAGCAGCATTCCACTGTATCGGGGTGCTTGTACATTTTCAAGCGCTGACTCGGTACTTGCATCCCTTTTGGCTAAATTGTAATAAACCTCTGCTGAATGCCTTCAAACCTGAAGTGCTTTGCTCTGTCCTGGCTGATCTGGTTTAGCAGAAGCTCCCCAGGCACAGACCCCTTTATCCACAGCTTCATCTGAAATCGCTTCAGTAACAAGACAGCCCCATAAAATACTTGGCTTGAGCTTCTGGCTGCTTTACAAACAGGTGCTCGCTCCAGCCACAGGTAAAATAAAACCTCCAAGAAAAGAGGAATGGAGGAAGGATGAAAGTTAAGTCCTGCAGCTACTTTCTTTTCAATAGTTCATCGCCAGAGAGGACTGAAGCAAG